CCCCCCCCCCCCCCCCCCCGGGTTCCTCTCGGCTCATCTTTCTCTCACAGCTTTGTTAAAGCGCTGCCCGTCGGCACAGGCGCCCTCCCCTAATGGCAGATAACTGGGCCAGTTGTGTGTGTAACGCTCGGAGAGCGCGTGGTGCTGGCAGTGAGACAGAACGGAGAGAGGGGAGAGGGGAGAGGGGAGGAGGGGGGGTTGCATCCAAGATGAGGCGAGGACGTGCAGAACGAGCAGTCTACCTCGCTCAACGCCGTACCGCTAAAAGCCAGATTCGGATTTCCACGTTCGGCATCCCAGCTTTAATTCGACTGGAAAAGCCGAATATGGTGAACAGTAAAACAATCTAAACCACAGTGTGGGCATTGAAATAATCACCTAATTGATGACTGCAGGATCTATTTTAATGGATCAGACTGTGTACGGGATTCACATTTAACCATTTTTTAAACAATAGCTAGAATAATGTAACTTAAAAGACACAAAAGTGAAAGAGTGGGGAAAACAATAGCATAATAAACAGTATTCTAGTCAATTTTACAATCACATCAACTGACTCCAGGTGAGGGTGCCACGATTAGATATAAAGGAAGCTTCCATTTCAATGACCAAAACGAGTCTTATGGGTGGGCTACGTTCATTGTTAACTTAAAGAGAGAGACCTAGAGGGGAAAGACCATCCAGGCTGAGGTATACTCAACAAGAACAACTAGTTCCGAAACCGCCAAAAAGTCTCTTCAAAAGCAAACAATAGTCTCTAAAAACTGATTTATTAAAAGGGCTTTCTTTGAACGCGTGCCTGTAAAATAAAGGCTCTAAAAGTCACACTCTACATTGCGGGGAAAATGGGGTTTGTATACTGTTGTCCTATGGTGTATAGAAAGTATTTTATGACAAGATGTCTGGAGCAAAACAAAGCCAAGGATCAGGTGGCAGTAGATCCCTCAAAGGATCCAGAATTCTCAGACGACAACAGAGTCATTGGTTCAAATTAGAGGGCCCACAGTTACCGTCTGAGCGTCTATGGCTAAAAGGTGTCATTCGGATACATGATCTGCCGGCTTTTGTTAATCTATAGGACATGAAGGACGTGACGAGTACAAAGGCAGCCAAAAGGCCTCTATGACTGCATCTCAGGTTAACAATGCAGACGGGAACCAGTTAAAAGTGATTCCATGAGTTAAAATTCAGATAAACTAAATGAACTAATCTGTCTTTTGAGGGTGAATGCCTTTTTATAAGGAATTTGTTTCTGTATTTCCATTGTCCACATGTAAAACATTATCTATGGCCAGTAGTTGCCAACAATAAAGCCCCCTGATACTTATCCATTTCATAATCTCTGACAATTTCTATGGATAACAAAGACCAAACGAATGGATCGGACTCCCTTAAATGAAATAAAAATGGAAGTTTTAGACCAGCTGTTGGGTCTTTGACATGTTCCAGAAACGGGTTGTCAGGTCCTGCTTGACCCATATCCACAGCAACTAAGTCCCATTTAATCCCGCCTTTCACATTTACCTTTAAGCTTGACTCGTAGTCCGTGTTGACTTTAAACATGAGGGCCAGTCTCAGATGAATCTCTTTTGCTCTTGAGAAACCGGGGTCAATGTAAAGCACCTCCTGGAAAGCCTTGATTGCCCTGAAAGGGAAAAAACGCAAGTTTAAATACACACTGTAATTTGACACCTCTTTTGAGTTCCTCGTATGGTTTAAAAGGAACATGCACAACTTCTTCTTTACGCCTGATATTTTTATATCCGAGGTTCAGCTACAAATATTACAAATGCAGCTCAGTCCATCGCCATCCGCAGACACTTCTTTTGCCGCTGCCCTGCACTGGACTTTTTCATCTTAAATCCAGCCTGTGGCTCTGACCACGCCCATTTCAGGAAGAGGTGTGTGACGAGCAGAGGTGAGCGGCCAATGGGGGGAGCCCAGCACATCCAGCATGCGGCAGACCTCAGACAATTATCATGTTGGATTAGCTGAAATCCCAGAGACTTTGTGTTTGAGCTGTGGGCTCTAATAAAGCTTTAGAAAAAAAACAAAGTCAAGATTTAGGCTGTGCATTGAAATTACGAGCAAAACGCAAAGAAATCATAACGAACATTCAGTGCATCCAAACAATAGAATAACAACTGTATGGACAATGGCCCTTGATGAAAATATGAAACGATCAGAGCAGATGAGAAGCAAACAAAAAGCCGGAGGACTGTTAAGGTTGTTCTGGAGCATCTGCATTAAAACTGGTCTCAGTGTCATTAGGGAGCGAGCCGTCAGCGAGTGGTCAGGAGTTACGTTTCAAAGTAAAAAAGCACTAAGTGTATCCCCGATGCTCAGGTGGTCTATGGGTCCAAACACACTACATAGTGGCAATTCTGGGCAAAAGGGCCCATCCACAATCCAATTTCTTTCCATTTTTTCTTCCAAGTAGCCAGAATTTCTGATGCAAGTGGACTGAAAATCAATAGCAACAGGTTTTGTGCAGGGATTCCGATAAATTATTTTATTATGATGATAAACTCCACAAAATAAAGAGACTATCAAATGCTGAGATGTGGCTGGGACGCTGCTACCTGTTCCTCTCCCTACAACCCGGATCAAGAGAACATTTAAAAACACAAACACAGAAAGACAACTTTCCAAATCGAGCCCGCTCGCTGTGTCGCTATGACAACAATGGCAAATGCATGTCAGCATGAAGCTCCTCTCCTGTGTGAAGCAGCCGAGCAGCGAGAGCGGGGCTGCCGATTGTGTCAGACAAACACACATACACACACACACATACGGACACACACACACACACACGCACGCACACACACAGAGCGGATTGAACTCATTGCCCCCACTCCCTCCTCCTCATTTATCTGGTCCCTCCCTCTCTACATTCATCCTCTCTTCCCTGAAAAAAAAAAAGCAAAGCCCCTCACTAGAGGATGCAGAGCGACACGACATGTGGAAAACTAGTGGAAAAGAAAAACAAAAACAAACAAAGCACAGGTCTAAAAATCTGGAAACCCGTGAATGCGCGTTTTCTAAAGAGCCGGAAAAAACGCTTCCCAAGACGACCGATGTTTTTCCGGTCAGGGTGTCATTTTTAAATGGCCGAGGAGCAAAACGAAAACGGGGCCGTGGAAAGGGCGACGCGTTTGGGGACCGACGGGCAATAGCATGACCCCGGGAAGTGGCGTCCTTTGGGCCCTTGAACTCAAGTTGACGTAATCTGTCCAAACACCTACACCACGATGCTGATTTACGGCCACTTTGCAGAATTCGTTTTTTTAAGGGGCTGGTACATAGGGAGGAAACTGGACAAAACCATGATTTATGATGTGACTTTTCCACATTTCATTAACATTATCAGCTTATCTTGATTTGTCTGGAGCAACACATCTACAAACATTCTTCTCAAACAAAGTTATCTCGTTTTAGCGGTTTGGTGTTATGGTTTGAGTAACGCTCTTCTGAAGGAATTCCTCACGCTCACAGTGACCCTGACTTCCATCAGGTCCTCACGCGCTCTCTGAGGTAAGAGACATTTGGGTGATACTGGGAGACAGTGGGAAATGAAGCCCTTCAGAAACCTTGTTTGGGCCAAATGTAGTGAAAATGATTAATCTTTTTTTAGATTCAGCGCATTCTCATAAATGGGAGGGAGGAACCCTATCTCTCCAGCAGGAAAGCCCTTAAAGCTTTGAAAGGATAGTTTCGTGTCCTGAGGAAGACCCTAACCCTAACCCTAAAAACCAACACTAACTGAAAAAACAAATGTCAGATCGGGGCACCGATTAGCGCTCCCGTTCTGCATTTTTAACCTATGTTCACATGCAATTTACCAAAAGCATTTGCCGACGTTGAGCGGCAGTTTTGAGCTTTGCTATTGTTGGCACCTAGGCCTGATAAATCCTGCAAAACTGTCTCGAACCCGGTTTGGCTTCTGCATGTAAAAAACCAAGGTTAGAAACACCGGCTAGCATTCCACAGAACATTTCACTGACCCCACCTGTATGTGGAGATTTAAAGATGTCAGTTGGAAAGGAAAATGAAACTACAGGACATTTTTTGACTGCTGTTAAATAGTGAACAGGTGCTCTTCTCAGCACTTTTGAGGGTTTTAAACCATGATTGAGAAGGAACACCTGGCTGCTGTTCACTGAAGAGGGCTGCAAGTTTGAGGCTACGAAAAATAATAAAGTAGACTTCTTTTTTTTCCCAGGCTCGTCTTTTAACAGAAACTGGTCCAACACAGCCTACGGCATGGTGTGGTGCCTTCATGCTGACTTATTCTGAATACGGGCTGCATTAAAGAGAAACACGCCATTACTAATAGGAAGAATTTAACTGGGGTATTCCCACATTGAAAGATAAACAGCTGGCCCGCTACACAAACACTGACACAAACAGCAGGTTCAAACCATATTTTGGACGGGAGCCCTGGGTATTGTTCTCGGCTCCAAATTCCCAATATCCCATCTGTGAAATATCTTTGCGGAACAACAACAATCTACCGAGGCAACGGGACCAAAGAGATCCCTCCCAGAGCTGGACTCAGCCCCCGAGCTTCTGCATCCATCCTCTAATCAGGACAATCTGTTTCGGGCAAGTGGTTTTAATGTTGTGGCTGGCTGGTATGGATGAAAACATACCATCAGGAAGGGTAAAAATGAGGTCGCTTGGGAAAAAAAGTGGGGCCTTTGGAAATCAGAAACTAACTTTATAATATCTGAAAGTGACATGAAAGCAGCTTTTTTCCAGGTGTCATTTTAAATATATATTTCTACATATCTTTTCTTTCAGTATTGATTTACAAATGTGAAATTTATCATTTTAAAAAAATTCAAAATGCTTAGCATTATTTTAAAAAAAACGAGTCGAGAAAGAGAGTCGGGATTTGAGTTTTTTGCTGCTGATAAAAGGGAAAAAAAAAAAGGTCATCTGTATAAAGCGGCAAAAGAAAATCGAGCAGGAAGTGCGGCCAGCCCCGTTTACAATTAAGGTCGGCGTTCGGGAACACTGTGGATTCCAACGCGTTCCAAGGAGGAAGGAGCCGGAGGTAAAAGCGATACGCACATGTACGCGGAAAAGGTGGGAGCTGGACAAATCCACGTCCGAACAAAAGCACCTGGACTCGCACTAACAGGAGTTTGGACAATGAGGAAAAACGTGCAAAAATTGTGTCTTTTCTTTTCAGGATTACCTCACCAGCACAGAGGTACTAAAGCAGAGACTGAGCTTTCAAGTATTTTTCCACTGCAAATGTCAATAAATGTATGCTAATCCTCTACTTTTATACAAGTACACTTTCTGCTTTATAATGCCACCAACCAATGGGACCTTTACTACCGTCTGACACTTGTATTTTCCAACCGCAAACAGAAAAAAAAAACCCACAAGCATTGATTCTTTCGACAAATACAAACGTGCAGAAAAACGCATAAAATTGAACATCACAGTTATTGATTTTGATCTAAAGGTAAAATGGTGGGAAAGTTTCATCCACTTTTCTGCCTGCGTCTCGATGATGTAGTTTCATTCGAGCGGGGGTTTAACTTAACTACTGAGAGGTTACCTGGATGCTCTTCCTCCAAGAAATCTACACCAGAAATCAAATCATGCCAGCCTCAACAAAGAGCGATAACATGTTACTCAAACTGATCTGAACGCTTTAACTCCCGTTAAAGCCACTGTAACTTATAAACATCAATGGACGATATGACAGGAAATCAAATGGAGCTAAATGAGGCTTCTTATTCTTGTGTTTGTTTTGGTACGATTTTTTTCAAGAGATGGTTAATAATTCCAAACCACAGGGATGTTACTGGAACATTTTTCCCCTTTTTTTTTTTTCATATCCCAGACACGATTAACCATTTCTTTTGCACTGAACTAAACAGCCAGAGGAGTGTTGAATCAACCCGTTAGTCCCGGACTCAGTGAATGGCCTAAATCGACAGCGCCGCTCATAAACCCACGACACACACACACAAACGCACACACAAGAGTCCAATCAATTCTCCTGCAATCGATGGCAAAGGCTGAAAAACTGAATCTACTGGGAGAAGGCGGATCGCAGAAAGCCAAGCGCCGTGAAAGAAGCAGCCATACTTCCAGAAAAAAAACCGTCCCCCCCCCCACCTGGCACCACCCGGGCGATGGGACCTCTTTCTGTCGTTTCAGCTTTTTAACAGAGAAACGACGATATGTTATTACCGAAGAGGCATAAAAGCGGGAGATGGGTTTATGATGACCTGCCTAAAGCCTGGGCTCCTTTTAAACCGGTTTTGCCGGTTAAAGGCCGGTGACCGGTTCGGAACGAGTGGCCGGTTCGGCGGTGATTCGTGACGACGGGATGGCGGCGCTGCTCTCGTCTACTTGCGGTCAGAGGCTTCTCTAACCTCCATTAGCTGGGACACTGATTAGTGACGGTGGTGTGTGCGTGCGGCGAGGCGGAAGCACTTACCACTGAAATGCGTTGTAATAGAAGTAAACCATTCCTAGGCCGTATAAGAAGGCGGCGTTCTGCGAAAAAACAAAACAAAGGTTGACATGAGGTGATGGCACAGCGTTATCAACGGTTCGCATGGCGCCCGAGCCTTTTTAGCATCCGTTTATGACTTAAACGACAGCTCTCATCCCAACATCTGCCACGGCCTTCCCTCCTCTGGTCCCACACACACACACACACACACACACTCACACACACACACACACACACACACACACAGGATTAAGGTAAATGGATACTTCATCTAGCTTGGGGGTTAAGCTTTAAACGGTCGTGCTAGTGAGGGGATCTGGAAAAAGTGCCTCGAGCCTAAACTGGCAGCGCTTGTGTTTAACAGTCCCCCTCCGAACGGTTAAACATCAAACAGAGCGGGCCTGCTCGCTCACGTGGAGATGACGGGCCGGACGCCCGCCGTTTCACGGATGAGTGCGCGACGCGGGCCCCGGCTATTAGCAGGAAATGAAAGCGCTGATGAAAGGGGACGTCTCTGCTCCGCAGCTGACGAGTTGTCCAGGTGTAATAAACCAGAGCTGTGAGCCTTTAGACGCCGGCTACAAACTGACCCTGGTGCTGCTGATAGAGGCTATGTAATGTCACTAAAAATGTGATTATCTAAGCTGTGACGTCCTGTAGGTATTCAAGATACCCAAAATGTAATCAATCACATTGTGTCCGATCAGGATTGACTCCCTTCTTGCTTGTACACGTTTGAAATGGCAGCAGAGACCAGCATTCCCCTTAGGAGTTAGTGGAGACTGAAAGAGCTACTAGACACGATGACCGTTGCTCTTGCAGTGGCTAACACGATGTGTCCCGTTACTATGTCCGTTTCCAGCTCTTCTGGATTACTGAGCAAGACCCAGAGCTTCAATAAAAAGTCAAACTGGTTTGGGCACAAAGGCTGAATAAAATTCTGTGTGAATGTTAAAGATATAACCCAGTCATTTGTAAATATAACCACGATGATTTTCCTTGAGTTACATACACAGTCATTGATTTATCCTCCTGTTTAAGTCAACAGAGAGGTCCAACACGTGTCCGCTTATTCCATAATATGCCACTGTGATAGGGACCGTACCTAGTATTTAGGTAGCTCTAAAGACAATGATGACAGAAAAAACTATGTTTAACACCTAAATGACTGTACGCTGACTCATTTAGAGAGCTTTACAGAGCCTGAATGTGGGTTTGCTAGCACACAGGGACAGGAGGACAGGTTGGGGATCAAACCACAATGCTTTCATTAGTGGATAACTGGCTTTACCTCCTGAGGAACGGCTAGCACAAACTTAACTCGGGAGGCTTTTTTTAGGCTCGTCGCTGTTTTGATTTTTTTTTTTTTACTCGTGCAAAAGTGGTGCCAAAGCGACGATACGTGCTCTGCAGGAAGGTTTGGGGCACGGGTGCCCAGATTTTACAGAGCGATGCCCCATCAACACAGCGATTAAACCAGAAGATGTTAGCCTTAAAGTCCTGCGTTTGGTTAAATTTAGGGTTAAACTTTAGTGTTAGAAGCCGGATATTGTGCAAAAGGTGTGTGGTGGAGACGGATCTGGGTCACATTTGGTCTATAACGCAGTAGTACGGGACGGAGGGGTGGTTATACTGATACGTTAAGGGCAGCGTGAGAGTCTGCTGCACAGCTTTTGTTTGGCGTGTCCTTTAGTGCTAATCTGGACTAATTAGAACAACGTTGGGCACGCCAAACCACATTTCTGCCAATGTACGCTGAAATGGAACTTTTAAATCAGGAGCGTTTGAGCACGAGAACAAAAGCAGAGCAGAGTTGGACAGGAAATTCACAGGAGGTCACCGTGAACCCTTAAATTCTGTTCAAGCTATCCCGGAATGGAAACGGGAGGACAGAAGCTGGCAACACCCAGTTACAGTCTTTGCCAGCAAGCTCAATCGCCGCCATATCAAACCTTACTTTCACACACAATACGGGAGATATTACAGCGAGTACTATTAAAAAAAACACATTTTTTAAAATGATTTTTACATGAAAACTCACCTTCCAGTAGTCCGGCTGTAAACTGAAGTACCTCTGGTATGCAGATAATGCTGGCATAGAACGAAAAACAATACACGAAGAGGGAACAACAAGATAACATTTAGTTACAATGTAACAACCAAATACATTTTCCAACATTTTAACACTTTCCAGCAGTAAAATTCCAGCACCAGCAAAAAGCCTCTTGTCAAAAATCAGCCCAGCGAGGGGGAAGAAAGGCGCAACTCAAAGGACTTCGAATGAAAAAACTACCGTTGAAGGGGGGGGAAGAAAAGAGACGGAGGCTCACCTTTTGGATATTCCTCCAGCAGGAGGTTGAAGTGGCCGAGCTGGCAGAAAACGTCAGGATCAACTTTCCCTTCGGCTTTCAGGATGAGGGCATCGTAGCAGCTAACGGCCTGAACGAGAGACACACGGGTTGAAAACGGGCCCGGCTTTGGAACGTTTCATTTCAGGGAACCTAAAACGAGCCGGGCAGAGGTTCTCCAAAATGACATGCAAATTTTCTTTACGGCTTAGGCCGCCGACGCTGGTGCTTCTGTACGGGCTCGTTATGTATGTCAGGCCGTTTTCAGACATTTGCATTGTGCCAGCTGAATGCCCAAATATGGGCCCTGAAGTCGGTATTTAAAAAAACGGCTAAACAAATGAGCCTCCGTGGGTCGCGCCGCGGCCACGAGGAGAAGCCAGCAGAGTAGACCACGTGTGACACGTTCATGTCCTCATTTCAGACGCTGTTTAGACAGAAAAATCTGCCATTAACGGACATCAACGCTACTAAACGTGTGTGAAGAAACATTTACACACTTTGGCCGGCGGTGGATTGGTCACAGATCCTCGACGAGTTACAGAGGACTAGTCTGGTTCTTATAAAGAATAGCACCACATTTTAAAGATTGGTTAAAGATAGACATGCACGTGTGCGTGGCAAAGAGAATTTTGACCTTTCGGGACAGATTTTATTCACAGCCTCATAAGTCAGCATCAGTTTTATGAGAACGTGGTCATTCTAAAAGAGGTAGAAGCTGCATCAGTGCACTGTGGGTCATTTCAAATGTGTTTAATGTGATTTGTTGAGAGGAGTTAGACCTACAGCTGCAGCAAAAATATGAATGAAGTCATGGTGAAGCTGCCCTGCATCTTGCTCAATGTCCACTGGAGTAAACATCCTCACTGATCGATCGGAACGGTTGCCAGATATTGTTTTCCATTTTTTAACTGAATGGTGATGCTCAGCAAAGGCCCCAAAAACTCTAAATAAGTCTGCAGATTACCTTCCTCAAAAAAAGGCTGCTTCTATCGAGTTAGAACCCAGTTGAGATCCCTGTACAGTGAGCTCTGATAGAGTCCAAATCTATTTCGTTCAGTCTAATTTCCATAACACTTTCTTTAAATCAAATTCCAATTTACCCCTTCTGTGTTGTATCTAATCTGAATAATTAAGAACTTCAAGATTATGAGTTTTTTACTTCAAACATGGCAAAGGAAGGACGTTCTGATCATATAAAACAACAATGTCGTAGAGATTAACTATTTACATTTCTGTAAATTTTATCTCTCTTTTTATCCAGCAGAATATAAACAATAGTGATGGATTCAATCTGGTCATGCTCAGCTCAAACTGTTGTGATTGGGCCTTTATGTGCTAACCATGATGGGTCTATATGGACCTTTTTCAAATGTGTGAATTTGTGCTCTAGAATGCAGCTGGAACAGGGCTTAAGTTTATTTATTTTCAGTTTGATTTACACATGTTTACCTGCAGTTCCTCTTTCGCTGTTTACACAGTGCTTCTCACTGAAAAATAATGTTCCCTTCCCCTGGATTTCAAATGGTATGTTCCAGAAAAAGGTGGGTGAATTGAGTATTTAACACTTGCATGAAATCCTTCGACTTGATGCAGTTTCATAGATGCAAAGTTGCTACTAAGAAATGTCCCACAAACAGATCTTGCAAGTTAAGGGACAAATTAGACGCGTTTTATTTTCTTTTTTCTGCCCAGTACAGGCGGAATAACGGTGTGAAATAGGAATGAGAGCAGTAGCTGGCCGTGCAGGGCCTAGTCTGACAACACACACCGACCAAACAATATTCTCTGCTCTCCCCTAACCAGCAAACGTAGAAGCCACATGTTGAAGACACACACCAAACACAGGCAGAGTATTGGCAGCGGCGTGGGCTGCATGAACACGGCTGGTGTGTGAACACCAAGCACCGCACGGTTACTCTTGGTGGGCGCCTCTCGCTTCCGCTTTATTCGCTCATCTTTGTTATAAACACTGTACGCCTTCGTCGCGATTATCTTTAATCCGAATGGAAGTTAGCCTAGCCACCGCTGCTAGTGGGCTAGCAGCAGACCTTTTCTGGGTATTTTCTTCCCATCCCCGCCATCTTGAGCCAAGCCAAGCAGCCATTATTTTGGCAAGTTTAACTTTAAACTGGGCTTTGCTTTTGGTGGGAATGGTCACGTAAAAAGCAGGGGTTGTTAATGTGCGTTTGGTGCTAGTGCAGAAGGGTGTGTGAACCGCTGGACGGTTAGCCGAAACATGCTACCTGAGCGAGCTGACGCACGAGCCCAAACTCTGGCAGCCGTTTGAGGATGGGACGGGTCGGTGCAACGACCACTTCCACGAATTCACCGTTTCCCTCTCGTGTAAACGCCAGAGAAATGGGCGAAGACCTCGCTCTATGCCGCGTGGCCCCACTTTTTTACCAGATAAATACCCAACTTAGGCGGCTAAATGTTATATTTATCCCTGTGGTGCCACACAGTGCAACGGGTGCTACGCCGTGTTGCCAGATAGACGCTGGGAAGTAACGGCAGCTTTAGCATTTCTGCATTTTCCTGAAATAATAATGGGATAAGGCTATGTTTGCTATATAAAGTGGCTTTCAGCTGTCCGTGTAACGCTATCGGAGTCTCCCCCCCACACCCCCAACAGCCGCTGACACCTCCAGCAGGGCGGAGATGCGTGCAATATCCCCGTAGCACGGTGCCGTGTCTACTTCTTTTCGGCACGTTTAACTCCATTCCAAATTCTCGGAACAGACCGGGAGTCGTTTTGGGCACGAGCTCAGCCCCTGTCCAGCGCGTGCCATCAAGCGCGAGCGAGGACTTGCTCGTTAGTGTCAGCCGCTGGGCTCAGCATCAAAGTTGGGGAAATTGAGGCCAGGCTCGTCAAACACGAGCGGCGTTGGGAGGTCTGTACCATTTATTTCAGGTGGGATATGCACTCATCAGGGGGAGATAACGGGCACGGGCGGGCTGCGAGCCTGCCCGGTTGCATACCTTTAACAGCAAGGCCTTCGTTCTGGCGCCATCTTCTTGAAGCCCATGAAATCCAAACAGTGAACTGCAAGTAAAGGACAGACAACGTACAGGCGGTTCCGTATTACTTGAGGTGGGGGGGCGACCATATTTGTTGTTTGAAACTGCGCGAAGAAAAACACAAATTGCAGGAAAGAAGCGGGTGGGACCGTTCACACAACACACAATCTGACCTGTCAATTCCGACCAGGCTCTCTTTCTCTTGCGCCGTTAGCTTCGGAAAGTCCTCTTCGATTTCGGTCGCTTTTCCCGACGCCATTTTCTCCTCGTCATTACCAGCAACGCCGAGACTCCGGGCAGCGGCGGAGGCAGCGGCGGTGAGCGACACTCCGCACGATTTCATGGAGAAGGAACGGGAAGATCAACGGGGCCCAGCAACTCCGGCAGATCGCAGTAACAACGAAACAGTCGCAAACCTATCCAGGATTAAAACGGGGCGTAGCGTAATTCTTGCCAAATCCTCAAGGAAATGATCCTTTCAAGTTCCCTTCCACACTCGTCATTGTGCATCAAAACACAGCGTGTATTCCAGTCCCAATTTATGCATGAAGTTGATGTAATGTTGGGTTTTAGGGGTGAGTGTTTTTTGATAATATCGCAAACTTCCCCAACCAGCGGCTCAAAGTTGTTGTAATTGTGTCACATAGGCAAACGCACGCCGCCACTGTCGACACGCCCTCTGTTTGGCTGGACCAATCAGGGTCCGTCGTCAGCAGTCACATGACAGCCCCCAGTTGATGTGATAGCGAGCACGCGGACAAGCACGCGCACGCACACAGATTACAGCCCCCAAAGCCCTGCCTTCTGCCTTGCGATTGGTGTGTGGCGTTCAATTATGATTACGTAACCGTAGTTTTTTGGGACGCTATTGGATGAAAAAGATGTCATTTATGTCAAGGCTTTTTCTTGCAACGTTGCACATGTACTTTTTAATATATTCCTTCACAGAGGACTCAGAAAAACCCAAAATGTATGGTAAGTCCACATATTGAAATGGACATGCATATAAGAGTGCATAAATAACTAATGGAAAGACAGAAATGAAAACTTGTTGGTCTATTTTCCATCTTGTTTTGTGTACATTTTTAATATCTATATATTTTAATTGTATAATAGTTTCACTGGTCGGTACTGGTGTTATATTGCTACCATTAGTAGTGTTAAATCTGAGAATTTACTAGGACAAGACGATAGATCTCATTGATATTTTGGGTTTAGAGATTTAATTGACATACTATTTTGTCCTCTGATGGTAAAGACCTTGTTTCATATTAGTGTTTTAGGGATAAAGGGATTAGGGGCACTTTATGATTATTTTACTGGGCCAAAAAAGATATTAACCTTTAAGGATCACAATATCAACACAAAGGTCAGAAAAGTGACTTTTACCCACAGTTAGAAGTCATTTGACACCTTAATATCTTTATTCTTATTTTAATCTCTCTTGAGAAAGGGCAAAATACAATCAATACATGTGTTTTGTACCCATAATCTTGATGTTACCATGTGATTTTCATATTTTATTTGTTTTCTATGCTGAAGTTTAGAACATCAGTTTGAGGTCAATACCCAAAGAGATAGAAGTTGAAAATCTGTCATATCTGAGCACAGTGTTCAGGGTGTCTTTAAATATTCTGAGCAAAGCGGACTAATGACAGAAAAAGAAAAAGTGGTAGATGTTAGATTAATTGTATTCAGTAATCACTGTAGATGCTCCAAAAGATCCATCTTCTTTTCACCGTAGCCTTGTGGAAATCATTTCTGCGGAGGGCTGGCTGTGAAGCCATTCTCAAAGAAGGGAAACGGGGAGAAATGGCTGAGCTGTGTCGGATTCTAATCAGTGGCAACAGGTTTGAAGAGGGATGAGTCCTCCCCAAAAGATGGAACTCAACGTTATTGCAGCAGTGTGAGATTATCTGACGGAGAATGGAACAAAAGGCAGACAACATCGAGAGAAGGGCTTTGGGATGTCCTTCAAGAAGTCTGGAGAGCTATTCCTGACCACTCCTCAAGGAGAGGACTCACAGTTTGAGTAGGTTTTCTAATCTGAGTTCAGGCTGTTGCAGAGTAAGGAGGATCGTATCAAATTTTGCCTTCACAGATAATACCAACTATATAAATCCTGTATTTGTCTGCCATATTGCATTTACATTTATGCTTGCATGTTTGATATGATCCATGCACAAATGTGCTATTTCTCTGACAAGATGTCCATGTTTGAAGAACCAGTGCATAACTTGTATTCAGCCTGGCCAAAGTTTCAAAGATAATAAAGTCATTGAATTAGGGGGTAACGTCCTCTTATATAAAGGAGGATATAATTACGTACAGGAAGATCGAGCCCTGTCCCGGATTCGTTTTACATTGACCGTCAAAATTATGCAAATGACGGCGGACGTGCAGGCATCTGAGGACAGCTCTGCGCACTCCAAAATGGCGAACCGCAACAAGGGTAAGCAGGCCCTCATACAGATGGGCTTTCCATCTAAACACCGACTAGGTGATATTCTGTAAGCACGCCTTTGACATTAGAGTCGTTTGGTGTCTTTAATGTGTTTGTGTGGACTTTATTTTCGCCTGCTCTGAAACGCTGACGTCTTTAGCCGCACCGTTAACTTTCAAACTGTTAGCTTGACTTCTGATGCTAACTTAGAATCAGGCCGGAGAAGTTTACTTTACCAACTTATGAAACCACCCACCAATTTAAACGTTCATACGCTGCATCTGCTATGTCGAAGTAACTGAGACGTGAAGCTTTGACATAACAAATGTTATTACTCCCGTATAAAATTTGACGTTTAAAGACCTCTGTTAACTTTGCTTTCTAGCCAGTCATTGTCTCTGTGTGGCTAACTGGTCTTATTTTCCGCACTCAGACCTGGAGGAGGAGATTTACGACAAGGTCGTAGACATAACAGAGTACGCCAAACGACAGCGATGGTGGAACCGCATTTTCGGGAAAAACTCCGGTCCAATAGCAGAGAAATACTCGGTGGCTACGCAGATCGCCATAGGAGGAGCTAGCGGATGGTAAGCCTTCTCCTGGAAAAGTCCACATACTGCTTTCTCTTCCAGATCAAAAACCTCAGTGGCAGAGACACACCTGTGCCCAACGTCTCCTTAATGCCCATTGCACTTCCATTGCTGCCTTATGCATGTTAGAACTAGCAGCCTCCTGGAGACAGAGCCCCAAAAGTCCCATAGAGAAGTAATGAAGCCATGCAGGTACATTGAAGTACACAACAGTTGCATCTAATGCCGGAAGAAACTGATTCACTTGTTTCTCTCCCAGTCCCAGCATGTTGTTCTTAATTCGGTCCCACTTAACCCCTCATCTCTGGAGATATTTGGCAGTCCAAGTTTGGATAGTTGTGTGTGAATCCCCTTTTGACAGTTAGTTATGTTTTGTGTATGTTTGTGTGCACGTGGGTCATTTTATGGGACTTTTTGGGTTTTACCCAAATGAACCATGCACTGTGAATTTTTCTCATTCCCCAGCTGCATTTTATCCACTCGTGAAAGCAACATACACGGTTAAAAAGAGCAAGAGCAGAGGAGCAACATGGCTATTGATCTGGAGGGGAAATGTTATCAATACTTTTAGGAAATATTGTTGTGTTATTACCCGATTGTGCATGCGATGTCCCAAAATATATGCACAGGTCTTCATGGTCAGCCACAGAAAAACATAAACCCTCCCAAAAACTGACTTTTAGATTGTATGATGATTAATTAATGCATCATGTGGGATTACTAAATCTGACAGTCAAAACTCTCCTAACTTCTGCATTTTCTTATGCATGTTTTCCTTTTAATATCATACACTTGACATGATTATCATACATAGTAGATTATGGACATAGAATAGCTCTACGGATACCTATGCTTGGCTGGTATGCAGCTGCAGTCTTGCTGGCAGACTTTAGTCCCAGGCTTCAGTTGACAGTGGAGCTTTATTTTAGCTGTACATCAGAGCTCTTTCACAGGGATTTTTGCATGTTATTTTTAACACCCGAAATCACACTGTGCGTACCACACTATTATTTTCGTGTCTGCTTGTTAGATGGTTAATGTCAGTCTGTGTGACGAGAGCTAAGACGTCCCAGATGAAGATGATTGTCAGGCTTTTGGTACCGGATACTTGGCTTCAGAACTATGGAGCAGAGAGCCTAGGTCACTTTGAGTCCAGTTGAGCTCCCAGTCACATGTCCACTTTTTTATTTTTTTCTCAGTTTGTCTCAAATTTCAATATCTCATCTCTAGTCATTCATTCATAAACCGCCTCCGCCTCTTTGCTGTGTCACATCTCTTTGTGAGTCCACTATTAAGCATGCTTTGTTCACCCTGAGAAATAAACGCTGGACACTTCCAACATAACAGCTCACAACGCAGTTTAACAGCCATAGAGTGGGGAGACGTCAACGTGTATTCATCAGATGAAGTTCCTGACCTCGTGCAAGTGTTTACATCAGCTGAAACGAGAGGCAGCTTTAAGAGAGTGTCCCATGGTCTAATATGAGGCACAGATAGTCAGTCCTTTACATGTTACCAGACCATCTCGTCTAAATTGATACCATCAACATTTAGTTTGACGGATCTGCTCCCAAAGATGATTTTAATGCGACGTGTCAGCCGGGGATGGACGGACAGCTCCACTCAGCAAAGCGCTCGTCCGTCACCAGCTCTGCCGATGGGCGCCAGTGTGAACGAAAATCCTTCTTGAAATTTGAGATATTTTTAGAAGATGTTGCAATAACCTCGGTGTCCTTTTTCTTTTCGTTTTTGTGCGTTTGGCCTCAGGTGTGCGGGCTATCTCTTCCAGAAGGTTGGAAAAGTGGCTGCCACGGCGGTCGGCGGCGGCCTGCTGCTGCTCCAGGTATCCCGGCCCTCTGCATTCACAAACATCCACAGGCCGAACGTGGCGGCCGACTCAAGCTATTTTCACGAATCAGCCACCCTCTCACCACCCCATCCTCTTCCTGTGTCTTTTCCAGATAGCCAACAATAGCGGGTACATCCAAGTGGACTGGAAGAGGGTAGAGAAGGATGTCAACAAAGCTAAGAAGCAGCTGAAGAAGACCACAAACCAAGCAGCCCCCGAGCTAAACACGTTTTTCGAAAAGGTAGGTTTTTTTGTTTTTTTTTCTCCAGGGAGATTGAGTTTGGTCAAGATTTTTCCTTTTTTTTTTTTTTTTGCACTGAACTCGAAAACAGAGCTTAATGAAAAAGAAACCCTCAATTCTGCTTTGAAAGTACATCAAAGGATGGATGCTTCCCACGCAGGCCTCTGTTCTCATTTTCATGCACATTCATCCTTAACTTTTAGAGCAATCGTACTAACAAATAAACAAAGGCACTCAAGAGAGCACGCTCTTTCCCAAGCCCCGTGTATTTCCCAGCTTACCAGATGTGGCTCCGTTTTGTACCGACATTTTAAATGGGCTCCTCGTTCACTCACGATCCAGCTCTTCAAATGTGCTGGTGGTCTGCTGGGCTCGTTCTTTACAGGAAACAAAGCAAACGCATCCCACGCCGCCATTAAACCGGATCAGGACAGACGGCATTGTTTGCAAATGTCAGACCTCAGACGACCGTTTAAAAAAGAGAAGCATGTTCTTTGAGAGAACCAAGTCTAAACGTTTCATCACGTGTCGGCTTACCAATAGACTTTTTATTGGGCCGAAATACAAATCTTTCTAAAAATTCATAATAGAGATGTTTGTCATTTTTATTTTAGTTTTGCTTTGGCGTGCTACTCGCGCTAAATCAGGAAAGTAAGTGAAGTCTCTGAAGCTAGGTCCCACAGACCAGAGCAAACCTTTCCCTGATCGCTCAGTCCATAGACTGAAACAGAGCCAGCGGACTTCACATGCCAAGATTTTGATTTAATTGTCCTAGTTTTGGTACTATAGCTACTTTAATCCTGCCACTGTGCTCCTCTGGGGGGGAAATGTGGCCAAACTCTATTATTATAAGACAACCCAGGTTTCTTTGTGGTGGATTGTTCTGTCCAAATAACTGATCTTTAGCTCCGTGGGTGCGCTTCTTTAATGGCATTCCCAGCCTGTCTCTCTTTAGTTACATTTCTAGCTGGTTCTTTACACTGATACTGATGGAAATGTTTTCCCTTTCATAAAATATGGTATCATCAAATGAATCCGTTTGGAAAGGAAAGTCTAGATGTATGATGATGTAAACTGAACATACACATTCTCATGTTTGCTTTTTGTCTGTTTACTTCTGCACTTTGACACTTAATCTAGGTTCTCGATGTTCAGCTTGTTTCCTTTAAATATCTCTCCCTCTCTTAAAATCTCTAAATGAGCTCCTTTCCTTCTGTGGTGCATTTGGACAGGATGGAATGTCAGCCGAGAGAGAGCTGCAGCGCCTTTTGTGAACTCACCGATGTTTTGTTCTTTTCAGTCCACAGAGTTTGTGAAGAAAAACATTGTTGTCACAAGTGGCTTCGTCGGAGGGTTCCTGCTCGGCCTGGCATCTTAGGGTCTGCCAAAGGACGACAGTCTGTGTGTTTCTGATGGAAGGAAAGTCTCTCAATTTGCTGGAAGGTCTTTATTTTTTTTACAGTTAGCAGCGAGCTTCAGATTAGCGTCTTGGTAAATGCTTTCCACAAGCTGCACATCTTTTTGTCTTTAATACTGTTCAACCAAACGACAGGTGGTGTCAGGGTGGAACCTCTTTGGCCTCTTTATCCCCTTGATGTACTTGTTAGACTGAATGTTAAAACATATCATGCAGAATGACATGAAAACTAACCATAAGTAAACCGAGAGAATTTAACTATTTTCTATTTATTTATTTGAACCAAAATGATAGTTCTCCAATATAAATTGCATTGTGTTTGTGCTAAAAATCAGCCAGGCACGGGGCAGCTAAGCCTGTGCATTGATCGTCACATGTCATAGGACTCCACTGTGATGAGTGTTGTATTTTTACTTGGCAGGATTATTGTCATGTTAGGGTGAAAACTTGAATGCTGTTATTCATGGATATGGAATTATTATGCCTTTTGCAGAGGTGCTGAAGGAGTTGTATCTGCCTCCCCTGCATTTCTTTTTTTATGTATCTGGTTCTGCAATGAATGGATTGTGGTACTCAAGACTGTGGTTTGCCTACTCGAAATAAAAAGAAAAATTAAAATGTCTCAAATGTTTGCTGTTGGCCTTTGTTCACGTTATGCTTTTGTTATCTGAACTTAAGTTTTTCTTGGTAGCATTGCATGATTTTTGTAACTATAAAGCAAAAGACAGCAGTTCTTAAAAAGGCAAATGAGCCCCCGATTCATGTGGCTTGTTTCTCCTCATAATGACAATGAATTAATTCAAGGATTCTATCTGAGATTTTGGACCAACAAAATTGTCATTCTTGAGATATGAGCCATTTTCACCCTGAGGGAAATAATGACGATGTATCTGGCGAACTTTCTTTCCAGTTAAAACCCTATTCAATTATTTATATGAATTTACTAACAAGAAAATGGCTTTTGGCTTTATTTAATAAGGACTCTGAAGTCACGTGTTCCATTTAAAAAAAAAAAAAAAACTTTTGGCTATTGTTTTAATTTAATGAATGCATATTTTTTATTGAAGTACATTACATGTTACGACTCTTTAATTAATAACAAAAAAAATACGATAATTATTATTATTTCTGCACTTAGCCAATGTTAGCGTTGCTAGGAGACGCTTCCATGGTAACCAACAACAGACAGGCGTTTACGAGACATAATAAACCAGTTTTCTTAGTGTTATCGTCATGGCTTTACCTTTTCTGCCAGGAAACTCTCCCAATGCTCATGTAAGTTTTCTATATTTGATAATCTGTTAAGATAACAGGCTAGCCTAAAAGCGAAATGTTTGTATTTCATTTAGGCAAACAGTGGTCGACTACAGTGTAGGCCTATTTTAATATATGCAACAGCTGGAAGGAAATGGGCTCATTTGTGGCGGACTGCAAGCCCCCCTAAATATAACATTTGAAAAGCATAATTTGTGTCTGTAATGTGTTGACAGAACCCTTTCTCATTTGTTAAATGAATACCCCTTTTTATGCTTGACTAAATCTTAGGTCACGGTTGTCAAATTATCAGGTATGATTAAGTATACAAATTATCAAAAAAGAAGGAGGGGAATTAAGGGTCTCTATAAAAAATGGAAAACTATTAGTAGGGATCCCTTTGAAAGGTAACAAGGAAGTCTGGCTACTTGGAATTAAAATATACATCAAGGGTTGGAGGGTTGAACAACATAGTTCTGTAAATGTTCAATTTCTGATGTGATATTTAACAGGGGTCAGCTGTTTACTTGGCTGGAAACTTTTAATCGTATCATATATTACAAAAAGAATAAAGATCTGTAAGCAAAATTGAATAAAACTATTCCACCTTGTTTATCCGATTTATTTTGTGGGAATTCAGCTCAATAAGTGATATTAAGGTCATCATAACTTAGTCAACAGATGTAGGAATTGTCTTCATAGAGCATGCCTCCATGTTTTGTCGAACTCTCACATTCAAGCATTCATATAATGCCCAGTGTTGGTTCCAGCCTCCTTGCCAACTACACTGAGGCCTAAATGCATTATTTAAAAAGCATACACATCAGAATCAGGGTGTTTTTTTTCGAAGCACAAAACAATTCTCAGTCAGTGTCAGTGAGTATAAAGATAATTAAAATATTTTACTTCCAAATCTGTTGTGTACAAACTCACTTTAATGTGAATATGAACATATTCGCAGACAGTAATGAGAAAGACAGCAACATTATTATGAATTTTGACTCTAGGCAATATTCTGCACGATTACTCTTGCATAATAGAAGATTGCATCATACATTTAGAGAAAGATGCACAAAAACACAAAAGGCATCAATCAGAATTCAGATGTGGGAAAAATTTCTGTCTGCAACAAATGTCCAATAATGTCTTTCTTCCCTTTGCTCAAAGACCATTAGCTTAGCCTAAATGACTTATTTAATCATATCTATATTGTACTGTAACACCATTACAGCATGTATTTGACTTAAAGCGTAGAGATGACTTGTCTCTTCTGTGCCACAGCTGGGAAATGAGAGATTTCACAAATCTCAGCATTTTGACTATTCCAATGGAGTCCCGATGCTGGTGGGGTCAGAGAAGCCGGGCATCGGAGGAAAGTGTTTGTTCGGCCAGAAACTAAAAACAAAGTATTCCGTCTATCCCAAAGGAGAGGGCAGTGACCTACCGTCATGGGTCGCCTTCGACAAACAGGTGGATTGAAACTGACAGTTTCCACTCCCTCGCTCACACACACACGTCAAACATCCTGTGCCTTTGCACATCACACACACTTTTGTTTTTCTTTACAGTTCATTTTTCTACAATTCATTTATGCTTTCCACTCTCTCTGTCCAGGCTCTTTGCTTTGAGGCTTACTTCGAGGAGACTGTGCCTGTGGCACAGGTGGAAACGTACAGAATCCGAAAGTGTAAGATCTACTTCTACCTGGAAGACGATACCATCCAGGTGGTGGAGCCAGAGTACAAGAACAGTGGCATACCTCAAGGTGTGTGTGATATTGTTGGATATTTCTTCCAAAGGATCTCAAAGTTATAGGGATTCAGATTTGTATGTATTTTTGTTGTGAGTCCACCTGGCTGCATGATCAATTTCGATAGAACAAAAAAAAAATGTTCCTACCTGTTACTCACTTGTGCTGTGTTCATGTCAGGGACTCTTATTCGTCGCCATCGTATCCCCCTCCCTCAACCAAACGACGACGAGTTCTACAACATTTTCCACTTCAACATCAACCAACAGATGGAGCTGTACTCTCGTATTTTCACTGTGACTGACTGTGACGCCTTCACGAAGAATTTTCTGACAAAACTGGGGGTGAAGCTGAACGACCCCGCCGCTGTGCCTGATGATCCCTACAGCAAGATGCGGACACAGGTAGTCCAGAAACACAACACTGGCTGGTGTGAATTTAATGATTTAACGAGAGGCAATCAGTTAAATTATTGTTAGAATGTTATTATTTCAAATAATCACATTTATGGTAAATAAATGACCAAACACTTCATTCATTTTTCATCAGTTAATGCATTTTCATAGCTAGTGCTTGTTTAAAACAGGTTGTAGCTTCTCCTGTGTTATATAGTGGACAAAAGGTAAAAAATATCACTTTTTCCAGCTTGAAGAAAGCATGAAGCCGCTCCGCCCTTACGAGAGACACGACATGCTGAAGCAGTTTCTGGACAATGACCGCAAAGTGCTGCGTTTCTACTGCTTCTGGGACGACACAGGGAGCATGTATGGGGACCCACGGGAGCTAATATTGTACTACTTCCTGGCCGACGACACCATAGAGATCATAGAAGTGATCCCGCCAAACTCTGGAAGAGATGCTGTGGCCAAATTCCTGCACCGCAGCAAACTACCTAAGGTAATGAGTAAAAGACAGAGCTACTGCTTTACTTAAAGCTTTCAATCATTAATAGAAAACAAATATGGAATATAGCTCATTATTCATCACTACCCATAACATATGGAGGTAAAAATTTCCTATAATTAAGACTTAAGATTTCGTGAAATTAGGAAATCACTTGTAACGAGTGTATAGCATGACTTAATTAGTCATAAATAGGATTCAATTTCATATAGATATGAATAAGCTCTCAGAATAATAAGTTAATTATTTTTATAGAATTTATATTTTTATAGATTTTATAGATATTAGTTCAAAGGTGACAATTGTGATTACATTTCTGAGATACATCTTAAACTTTTTCAAAATTGACGGGGATTAGATAACAATCATGATTCACGAGAGAATAACTTGTTTCCTCATTATTTAGTGCCCATTACGAATTAATGGATAAAATAATGAATGAATTCCTCTCTCTGTGGTTCAATGACTTTTTTCCCCTGTTTTTCCCTCAGCTCTCCGAGCCCTCATTCACTCTGACAGGACTGCTGTAGCATCCAGTCTCCCTCAAGCAGTCTGACTTGCTCCCCCATTTACCAACTGAAGCCTAATTCATGTTGAAAGACAGCCAGGCCTCAATCATGATTGTGTTTGAGTGTGTGCACGTGTGTTTTTTTCAGTCCAGTAATTTTGTTTACTTCTATGCCTTTTTATTAAATGTCAATCTCAAAGGTTAACCAGGACCCACCATCCAATGAAAAACAGCCACACCCCTATTGACAGATCACTTCTTCTTTATGCCTCATTCTGTCTGTCTTCATTCCTCTCCTCGTGTGTTTCCAGGAGACAGAGTAGTGACCACGTCTGTCTAATGGGTTTTGTGAACTGCTCTCATCCATTTCCTGTGCTTCCCCTTTTGCTTTTTTATTTCACTGCAGCATAGCCCAAGCAAAATGAAGCAGCCTGGAGAGGTCACAGACCGCACAGTGCTCAATGTGTTTTCCTCCGACAGCCAGGAAAAACGCTTCATACTGGACAGCCTCAAAGTAGGTTCTGCCTCGGCCACAATCGCACAATCCCACTCAGGGCAAGACCACAAATGAACTGACCTTCAGTTTTTATTGGCTGTAAAAATAAGGTTTATTTGTGTGAGCAGTGTTGTCTGCACGCACGAGTTTTCCTCTTTTATGAGTGTCCGTTTCTGTCATTTGCAGACGGGAGCAATCAACGAGGAGTTTTATAAGGACACTGATCTGCTTGTAGGTAGGGATGTGAACGTGTGGGGCAGGAAACTGCTCATCACCGACTGCGATGAATTCACCAAAAAATACTACAGCTCCAAATATGGCATAGGTAAGGCACAGACAGAAGAAGCACCTTTTCAGAATAGTTTGGATATGAGATATGAGATGGATTCAATGCTCTGTTCGATGTATTTATGGAACAATATGCACTCTTACACTGTATTCTGACAGTTTACCTAATTTGTTGCATTATATTGATCTGAACACTTGGGGGCAGTAAGAGCAAAGATCTGCAAGCCCTTTTTCCTTCTTGTAAGACTGATTCCAGTCCAAGGTCAGACTAGGGATGCCTTTTACTATGAATGTGAAATATTTGAATCTAAAAAGGAGATAGAATTGATGATATGTTATGTATTATCAATCCTCAGTCAATGGATATTAGAATAAAAAAATAATACCAGCATCAGGAACTCTGATTCCACAGCTGAAGGCATTGGAGGCTAGCAGAGGCTCCCATAAACAGAAACCCAGCCTCGTCCTGGATGTATCTGCCAGTCTGTGCAGGTCTGGGGTTCACTGCATTAGTCACAGTAGTAAAGGAAGCTCCGCACTTTCCGAGACTCTGCTGTGATGAAGGATCCCAGTCAGAGGCCAGACGAGGGATGAATTACCTCCTTCCTTCTGACCGGTTCAGCTCTCCTCCTGAGTTTCATGCTTCCTTTAAGTGTTTTGTCCTTTTTCTCTCCTCCTTCCTCTCAGATAACTTCACCCCGATGCAGTACAAAGCTCCCCCAACCCCAAAGCCACCCAAACTTGTGCCCCCCTACAATGGCTTTGGCTCAGAGGAGGACTCCTTATGCTCCTGCCGGGGCTTGTTGCTCAAACCTCCCCAAAAGGATTTCCATAAATTTATGGAAAAAGACAGGTTAGATGACTTATGGTCGACACAGATACAATCAAGTTGAATACAGAACTACCTGTGTGTGTTACTGTGTGTGTGTGTTTGTGTTAGCAGCATCCCTCAACTTTACTGTGTTAATGTCCCCCTAGATGTGGCCTGAACAGTAATGTGCTGAATTTCTGTGCCAAGATGATAACCACAGATCCAGTTGACAGAACGCGGGTGTTCATCATCTCCTTTTACCTCAGCGATGACTCCATGAGTGTGTTTGAACAGCCACAGAGGAACTCAGGTAGAAGAATTTGGACCTAAGCAGCACCAGAAATACACTCAGGACTCAAGATGCAAATCTATGACTCTCGTGGTAAACATTAAGATGTCAGATTTAGTTTCCAGCTCCAAAGTCCCATGGAAACAGATGACGTTTGGTTTGTAAATGTGTATTTCCATTCATGCCAGATGAATAGCGTGCAGAGGGTTTAGGGACTTTTCAGCATGGCTTCAAAAAATATTATAAGATTTAAAAGGTTGCCAAGCAAAACTATACAAGTGGAATTTTAATTCAGTTTGAGGACAAAATGTTTTGTCAACGTAGTATAAAGATAAATGCTAGGGTATTGAAAATGTTGCCAGTGACTTTAAATCAGTGATATGTATATGAGTGATGGGCTTCAAAATAAGTAAAACTAAATGTTTAACATCCTGTACAAGGTGTACTTAGTGGGAAGTTTATGGAGCGTCGCCGGGTGAGGAAGCCTGGCCAGGAGCTGTTTAAGAGTGAGCCCTCGAAGTACTTCATGGCTCAGGACCTGTATGTTGGGGCTACCCTCTGTCTAAGTGGCAGAAACTTCCTCCTCACGGATGCTGATGACTATACGCTGAACTACATGGAGCAGAATGCCGAGGAGGTATGGAGGGAGCTTAGAATGAATGTTTGTTTACATACACTCATTTTTATTTGTGTTTTTTGGCTCAGAGATATGAAACAGTCATTTTTTCCTTAGATATTACTTGATACGATGTGTTATTAAACAGTTTATGTTTGTGTGTTATTGTTAAAAGTTTCCAATAGCCAACACAGGCAACATCCTCAGCAAACTGCGTTCCATTCCGGAGGGGAAACGGAGTGAGATCAGGAATTTTCTGACTCTTAGTGACCCCACCACGACTGGCTTCATCCCATATGAGTCATTCAGGTACATCTGCAAAGTCAGAATGGATATAGTTCTGTCCCACTTGCACAGCACTCATTTATTCTTTTGAATCCTTTGTTTGAGTAAGACTTGAAATTTACAACACCTTTTACAATAGTCTCCTTGCCAAGAAAGATAGCAGTTCAGGTCATAAGTTACAGCAGAAGACACATATTATACAGCACAAAACACTGAAATGACAAATAGAAGTGGAAAAGACAAAACTTTTGGAAAAAAATATTTCACTGACTGGAGCTAAAGAAATATTGTCGTCAGTTTTCTACTATGCCAGAAATTGCAATTGCTAATTATTTGGTGTTGAGTGATGAAGCAAATTTTTCATCTGATACAACACAAACCTTAAAAATGCCATTTATGTTTAAGTGAGATTCAGATTGTTGCATATTTATTTGGCATAAATGCTCAGTCCGGTGTGCAAAACTATGAGAGATCCCATTAATACACGGTATCTACATGGAAGGGAACCGCTACAACAACAGCATCCACTTGTGTTACTCTTCAGGCATCTTAAAGATCATAAAACATTTTTTTGCACATGCAAGAGGGTTTACGATTACAGCTCTGAAAAGCCTGTTTGCCCTCCCGTGATCGGTCTGTAATACGTTTGCACTCCTTGAGAGAAGTCGACTCACTGAGGTTCAGGTGATTTTGCAGCTGTTTCCGGGCAAAGGGAACAACAGACTGTATTTAAATAGTTTTTTCCCCAAAGAGCTCCTTTACAGCCTTGAGGGATCCATAAATGAAATCTGACTTGGAAGCGGAGACGAAAACCTCCTTCACTTTTCTGAAGGATGAAAATCTGTGGTTAGGATGGAAGATGACCAAAAATAGCTCCGTAAATGAAAAAAAAAAAAAAATTGTGGTCGGGTCTACAGAAACAACAAAAAGTAGAATGTGTGCGGCCGTGGCCCTGTGAAATGCTTTATGGACTGCCATGTGCTCCAAGAAATTTTAACAATTAATGCTTGAACAGAGGTTAGAGAGGCTGCCCCCTTCTAAAAAAAAAGGCCCCTATGTATTAGCTGATCAGCTCTTTCTTTAGATCAGCTCTGATGATAGAAGGATTGCAAAAAGTATGAAACCAAGTACGGGCCCAGGCACAGATATGAGCTGATGACCAGATTTATGTTAAAGGACAAACCATAAAAATGGAGTTTCATGACAATGTTATGAATGTCAACATAGTCAAAGAGGTCAAATAAATCTGATAGGTGTTGTTAAAAATGGCAGTAAATAACAAAAAGAAGGTCATCAATCCTTCATGTGAACATGTGCTACACAGGAGTCTGCTGATGGGCCTGGACTGTGGTCTGTCGGAGCACGAGGTTCTGGTTCTGGGCCGGTGTTTCTCAGAGCGCAGGCAGCCTGCGGCGGACGTGGGCCTGATGCTGGCTGTGGCCCAGGACTTCCTCAAGAGAAAGAACTTCGAGGAGTTCGCTAACCTGGCCAGAAGATTTGTCTACCACGACAAAACCAAGTATGTGCTGCACACGCGTTCCTACACACACACACACACACACACATGCACACTCGCAGTGGATCGTGTTAGGCGAAGGACCAGAAACATGCAAACACCCACAGGCAGGTCGCGTCACAACAAGCCATCAATTGTGCCGCCAGTGGCCTCATATCTCAGAGCAACGATTAGTTCCAGCAATGTGAGAGGGAAGCACTGGAACCAGATGGGGCCTAAAGACAAGCACGGCATGTGGTGCTGCAGGCCAGAGGACACTCACATACCCGGCCTCCATCTGTCTGTGTCTCTGTCTTTCTGTCTTTTCTTTCCCCTTGCGCATAAAATCATCCAAACCAGGAGATCTTTTAACTGTAAAGTTAGCTGAAAGAGATGGTTAGCATTGCTACGCTCGTATTGACTGGTCTCTTTATGACAGTGTTGACACCGTCAGGTTGGCATCGCATTGCTCATCAACATGGCTGTAATGAACAGGGCATGACGGTGATGGAGTGTCTGGCCTCCCTGTGGAAAATAGCAACGGTTTTAGAACACAGGCGTCCTGTGTTTCACACACGCAACCACATTATCTTCATACAATATCCGCCTGAGAAATGCTTCCATGATTAATGACTCTTTGTTGATCCTAATCGGAACAGCGGTGTGTTCAAATAACAACAGAAAACCAGAGAGCTGGAACCGAGGCATTCTGAAACTTAAGCCAACATTTTCAGCATCATGTAGGGGCTCTCTTGCAAAAAGACTGGATCGCCATAGTAACTGACGCCATACAGAAAATTTCATCCGGGGGCTGTTTTGATCTGAGTGCTATAAATGCTAGAGTGTTACACAAAAGTTTGAACACTTGCACATTGTACATTCAAGACCTAAGTAATGCCACCCAGTGGATTACAGTAGCTAGGATGAATGTGCCATAAAGTCACAGGAGTGGATGTGGAGTCAGTTTGTGATACAGAAAAGCCATTATTAAATGTACAAAAACCTTTTCAGTTCTAACTTCTTGCCAAGTCTCACATTGCAGCAAACAGAAACTATATTAGATTAGTGATAGCAATTGATCCTTCAGTAAAGGTAATCTTTCTTTGATTTGGGCAAAAACGTAAAGTGAATTTCAAGCATCCATCATTACAAGGAGCAGTATAAGACCTAAATGCACTCTCTCTCGGCTCTCCATTATGACAAATCGTTCCTCTCTCCTGAAAACTGAGGAATTAAAATAGATGAAGCTGCATCATAATGACATGTCAGTTTAATCTGCATGCATCTGCTTTTAATTGTCGTAATAAAAAGAGAGTTAATCTAAACTTTCAAGTCCTAATGATTAATTCTTACTTATGTGTAGTTAAAAACAGTCAGCAGAAAAACGTCCATATTCGAATTGAACAGACCCTTCTTCCTTTTGAATTTTTGGGATTTCAGGGCCAAGTTTTCATGCAGATTAAAGTGATATAATCCACAGACCTGCTCCTGTTTCCAGTAATAAATTCCTAGACTCGGTATATCACTCAGCCCCTTCATTCATTGCAAGAAATTCCTGTGAAACTCACCACTGCACGCTGGATGACAAAGAGAGTTTGTCATCTGTTTAGAGCTGTCATAAATTCTTTACATATTCACAGATAATGAAAGTGACCCATCAGATTATTTTGAAGGGAAATGGATGTTTGAGTAAATACGATTACAATTGTATTTTTTAATCTATTTTTTTCTCTGCTTTGTCTCTAGAACTGGACGTCTTTCCACCAAAGAAACAAGGACCATTTGTAAAGCCTTTAAGCTCGCCGTACCTGAGAACTTGCTGGAAGGTCTGCTCAGCAAGTAAGAATCCACTTATCACTGCAGGCTATTTGGGAGAACGGTTTATGGTCTCAAGATTAATTTACACAGGTTGTGAGTCATTGTCCAGATTCTTTGCCCAGAAGTTATTCTTGGCATATCCGGAGCATCCCTAATCAAACACTGGCTCGGAACACAAGAGCTAAAATCATACAACAGCACCAGTGCACCACAGATTCATTTAAAGCTTAATTGGGGACTTTTTAATGTCAAGTGTTTAATTTTTTCTTAGACAAACACCTGTTTGTTTATTATAGGTTTGCTGATGGAGAAGAAATAGACTACAATGCTTTCATTGCTGGCATTAACTGGATAGAGAACCCTACCCCACCTGTTATGCCCGAGGACAACTTAAAGGTGAGTGTGTGTGTGCGTGTGTGTGTGTATATGTACTTATTCATATCAAACAAGAAGAGATGAGGGGGAAAAAATGGAAAAACTTTTTAAATGAGGGTCAGTTTAGAGGACACAGTGAGTAGTTTCACAGTGTGTGCGCAGATTTTTAAATAGATATAACTGAAAATCAATCTGCATTTTACCCCAGCCTGCGATGACTCAGAGGGTAAGTGAGCCAAAGGCAGAATTAAGAGAGTGGAAAGGAACAGTAAACTGGACAAGAGGACAATTTATTGTGAGCGTAACTTGACAAAGAGTGACGCAGAGAGACAGAGGTGATAAAAAATGAAGGGAGCACAACAGCTCATTTGTTCTTAGTGCGTGCCCTTGTTGCTTTGCTGATTTGGAATGCCTCAGCACATCCAGATCTAAGCAGAACCAGGTGAGCAGGAAAGGTATGCACCAGAGCATGACAACAAAGGCAAGCTTGCGTGGTCAGAAACAAGAGCGGACCGAAGCGCTGGCACAGTGCTCGCTTAACTGTCTATCTTCCTCTGCCTCGGTTTTCACCTGTTTTTTGCCAAACTTTTAGACCAAACCACTTAAACCATTTAAAAAAGCTGCAAACGGTCTGTAAACCCTTTTATGTGAATTCTTGCAAATGTCACATACGTACAGGGATTTCATGCAGACAGGCCCAGGAAGGCAAACCTTTCCTTTTTTGTATTTGTTACAATCCATGTACTTAAAAAAAGAAAAGAAAAGCCCATGCTGCTTTAACCTTTGCTATCGTCTATCTCTTTTACTTATTTTCAATAACCAAGGAGCCAATCCCTTAAGTTTTAAAACACAAACGGAAGAATAACTATGCAGTGATTAATCACAGAGCAGAGCCATCAGTGTACAACTTTAAAGAGCAGTGATGAAATCAAGTCATGCTGTCAGAGCCGTGCCTTCACATGCGTGCTCTTGATGTTTCCAGTTCGAGGTGAATCTGAAGTTCGACGGAAGTGGAGCTGCACTAAAAAACATCAACTACTCTGCCCTTCTTCAGGACGTATTCAGCTTTGCCTCCGACAACACTGACCCAACGACCACCGCCTCAGCGTAGACACCTAAAAACAACAACATATTTCTCCCTCCATTAAAAAACAACTGTGAATCGGTGCGTTTTTTTTTTTTTCATCACGATGGACGACCTACAGGGGGACAGGATGAGTGTGAAACATATGAAAGTTTGTCTTGTTGTGCATGTAGAGTTTGACCGAGGAAGCCCTTCATGTGGGAGTTTAAACCAGCACTGTCCTCTTGAATGGAAAAGGGCTGCAAAAGGAGGCAAAACAACAGACGACAGATGCTTTTGATGTACTTGTGTGTGCGTAACTGTTTACGTGAGTTTGTGTGAATCCAGACAAGACATTGCACAGAACGAGGCGCTAAAGCAGAACCATGATTGAGCTGTTTGGAATCAGTCTCCTCCGCACTGCTTCAAGTTGATAAGAGAAAAGGCAGATACCTGAGGCCACAAACAACTCATGTGGTTTTCATAAGACGAAACTCCCAGGGAAGTAAGCAGAGAAACCAAGTGGAATTCTTTCAATTTCTGTTTTCTGTTATCTCACATAGTTTTTGTTAGATCCTCTGAGTTGTAACATGCCGCATCAAGGGCTCGCTGTTTGTCATAACTCTGGATTATGTCCAGTCTCCAATTGTGTGGTTAATTTCCGAGTTACAGCAGCAGCGTGAGGACCGAAACCCTCCCTTTGTCCAGCCACTTCATGCAGCTCCATCTGGGGGAGGCCTTTCACACAGTTGTGCTTCTACATGAGCGTAAAAAATACACACACTTGTCATGCTGCTGATTCTCACCACTGAACCGTTAGATCAGCCGAGTGACTTCTTTTGCATCTGTCATTGCTTTTCGCATCTTACTCTGGTTCTTGGATTTTACTGTACAGCTGGATCTGTGTGTCACCTGATGTGACGGGTGGGGATTGGGGACACAGACTGCCCGGTAAGGTGGGCAGGCTGTATCCCAACTCTAGGGAACACCACACTTATGCACAAGACCCCAAAAACCTCCTTCAATTTGCAGCATATGCCACCCTTCCGGGGACAGAACTATGGGGAGATTTGGTAATAAATCACTTAGGTAATCACTGGAAGCAAAGACATAATCTGCAAAAAGCAAAAGCCCCCGACTACCTGGCCCCCAGGCCAGATGCCTCCCTTCCATTGTGCGCGCCCACAAATCCTGTCAGTGAAGTCAGGGGACAGCCTTTGAAAAGTCCATAGCCTTTATTGAATAAGTCAGACTTAATGCGGAGCATGCCAATATAGCTCTCACTTTAAGTGTACAGGGACCTACACAGAAGTGGCCACTAAACCCTTGGCACGCACACTCCGCTCACCCTTTTCTTTAAAAGTTCGTTTGGGGATTTAATCTCGTAAACCAAATTAATCAAAACGTGCCGGAGGAGAGTTTCGGGGGAGAACGCGGGGCCGTTGGTGGTTTATTTTAAAAGCAGCAGCACTCTTGTGATGTGTGTTGCCATCTATGTGTGGCAAGGGCACCAAAATGTATAAACGGACTGAGTTGCTCAGGTTGAGGCGCCACTGTAATCAGAGCCTGCTTTGCAAATTATAGTAAGAGGGTAAGTCAAATGTTAGGCAATCAGGCACCCAATCACCTCTGTGCAACCACACACATTGACACTGCGTCACTCACACACACCGAGCACATAAAAAGTGCATTACATCAGTGAGGGAATTATCTGAAGCATGCTGTGAATGAAAGAGGAATTTAACACACACACACACAGAGAGATACACACAGACACCATCCATAGCTCCAGTTTCTTCCTGTCATTTGCTCTCTTTTTGCTCAACCTTTTTTCTGCTCTGTCACGCTCTGTAGCCTAGCAACAGCAAGCTGAATGAGTCTCTCATCAATATGTTTGAAAGGTTTAGCCAATTTGTCCAAAAATCTGAAAATATGTTAAAGTGAAACCGGGAAATTATGCTATTCGCGTTTAAGATAAAACAATGTGTGTTAATTCCGCCTGTAATTGTTTATCTTGTGTATTGGTTGGTTGCGTGTCATGGTGCCCCCTTTGGACACAAAGGAGGCCTCCTATCCACTAAGGTCAGAAATAAACAGAAATGAAAGGATACTGTCAGCTTAAATTGGTAGTTTAGACTTTTTAAAACGTGAATGTGAATATGGGAGTCGAGGTTCATGACAAATATCAAACTAACGCACGTTGATAAACACGTGAATAGAAGTTTGGGCTGAACGCTTTCATGAATCACCCTCCCTGGCAGCGTCTCCTCTCAGCATGCGACGTGTTGATGGGGTTTGTGCGCCTGCTTCCTGTTGTTTCTCCGTCTCTGCCTCACACAAAACACAACACGGAGGCCTGTTGTCCGCAATCCGCCTCTCTGGTTCTGTCCTCGTTCCACTTTACTGCTGTTCTGCTCAGGTCGGCCGCACTGTAAAAACCGATACGCAGGAAACTCCGAAACGTCTCTGGAGTGGAGAGGATACGAGTGCGGTGCGCACATCCAAATGTGCACGCACGTTTGTGTGCGTGCGCGCATGTTAATGTGCGTGATGGGCTTAATGCAAGTCCGATGGAGTCATGGTCATAGTTAATCTTATGAAGTCTAAACAGATATCTGAGAACAAGAAGGGGAAAGTTTCTGTTTACTGGCTGCCTGCCTTTCTTCTCTCATGACAACAAATCTTAAACCTGGAAGCAAAAAGATACAAACGCATCACAGAGCACCTGCGCTCACATGTTTTTCTTAGAACTTTTATTTCTCCCAATGCAGCAATTTTTGGCCCCTCACTTCCCTCTGAAAACTTTTAATTGATTAAGATGTTTAAATCCTGTAACTGCGCCACGTAGCAGCTCTGTGTATAATGCGTACATCACTTCCCAAAACACAGTTTGACATCAAACTGACATCTCAATATAATATGAGTCGGAAAAAATATGATTGAGTCAGAGAGAAATGTCTTTAGTGCAAGCCATTACCATTCACAAAAGTATGGACTCATTAATGTGCATCTCGTTCCAGCCATAAATCTCAATGAACTCCATTCAGAAAATACAAAAACCTTTTACTGAATTAGCTCATTTTAGAACCAAACATTGTCGAGTTTTATCGACTTTCCTGATTGAGAGATATTTTAGAGAGGTAAAATCTAAACAAAAGCTGAGCTACAGTAATTAATCGGACATTTGAGCATTATTGGGAAGCATATGTCAAACGTTTTTACCACAGCAGCGACTGGTTGCTGTAAACTTGTGCCGGTGGACCCTTCATCCATCCTTATTTGTCAGAAGTCCAGCAGAGAGCAGATGGATTGAGGACAGACCCCGGGGGGGTTATAATGAGCATGGCCATTTGCTCATCAGTTACATCAATCTATACGGCCACCTCGTTCCGAAAGAGTTGCGTGTTATGGGGAAATGAAGATGTTGAATCCGACATGTTCCAAGACGGGCGTGAAAACCACATTGTTCCACCCGAATCCAAGTTTTAACTGTGGGCTGTAATCCTTTCTCCTGCACCATGGAATAGACTTTATGTTTTGGGGCAAGATGACTGAATAGGGGCTCTTTAGAAAATACTATCCACCGGTATTCCTCGTTATTTGGTTTTTATGCGTTATGTGGGATGGGGAAAGTCTCCTTCAACCGATAGTCCTCTCACATGTCTGCTCCTGCTTATTAGGAAGACGTCAGTTAGCTGTTGAGCCCGTAGGAGGTCAGAAGGAATGAAGCGGCTTGTTAAGGACTCTCCCTGTGGACCATACTCTTTTGTATCAACTCTTCTCCAGCATTGAGGAGAGCTTAGTGGACTGTTTTGGCTGCTCTCATTCCAGCGATGCCTCATTCCCTTCGGGCACTGGCACAGAGAGTGGGATGTAAGGGGCGGGGGGAATCCGACTTAGACCTCGGTCCACGGGGTCAGCTGTTGCCCCGGGTGCACACGGGGAAGCACTTTTTCTGCTCCCTCGTTGTCTATTTCTGTGTCATTCATTTTCCTCCGTTATCCCCATTTTTCCATTTTTCCCATAAAAGAGCTGAGCTACAATAACTGCCACATGAAGCACCCGACCATCCGTAATCATGATAAAAAAGCGAGTGTCTACGTTCTTATGTGTCGGCTGCTGTCTCACTGCTGACTCATCGTTATTAGGGAACCGTCGTTTTTCTCTGATCCCAGTCTCTCGCTCCTGTGCTCACCATTCCCCCTCTGTTATTAGCATTTGCGCTGGCTCCGTGACTGTCTGAACTCTATTACAAGACCTGGTACACTCATCAAATGTGAGTTGTGTTTGGCAGCTGCCGTGGCATAACTTTACCTGGTGGAGAACACAGAAAGTTATTCTACACCGGCTGTAAATTACAGCTGCGGGACTATTTTTGTCAGGCTTTTGGCTCCCAGAGGAGACCATTTTCAAGGCAAAGATGCCTGTTTTTTGGGGGGTTTTTTTGTTGCACACTGGTCCAAAATCAATCTCCGAAAAATCATAGTCCACTTCCTTTTTTCTCATGTTGCTGCGAATGAGGCTGGAAATCAATCTTCGACGTGAGGAGCGAATGACTGTCAGTCCTCAGCTTTCAATCTCGCGCAGACAATCCCAGTCATCTGGAAACTGCTTTTCAGCACTGGGGCTGACTGCGGAGAAAAAAACATTTAGCTCCTCGGATAAAAGGTTTGGGATTTGCTATTGAATATTGAATCGCCTCAAGCGCTCGGACGAAAATAAACACCACCGACGGCTGGACTTGTTGAATGTGCGACTGAGTTTTGACTTCATTCTGACCCTCTAATCCTGTTCTGATGAGGGGGGGTGACTCATGTCCCGTCACGTCCAGCCGCAGCCCGTGGTGACAGCAGGATCAGGAGTGCCTACAGCCAAGGTGAGACTTGGTCAGGAGCGGGCGATCAACGGCCATTGGCCGCTCTGCTGATGTAACGGGGGTGCAACCCGAGCCGCAGGCCCTAATCATAGCCGCCTCGGGCTACGGTGCAAAAAAAATGCTAACCAGGCGATGACACGTCGTTAAAACAGATTTAAACAAAGCAGAAAAAGTAAGGAGTTTATCATGATCTTAAAGAGCTAGTTACCTGTCCGCAGCTGTCACGCCGCCCTAACTTTAGTTTGCCTTTATTGCTGTCAAATAAACAACTATCGCTCCAGAAAGCCAGAAAGAGTTTTTAGAAGTTGTCAGAAAGCTGTTTTTCTAGCAGTCTGTCATAGCGGAGTACCCCCTTACTTTTTTGCTCAATAAATCTCCTGCTCTCTCTTCCGCTCTCGGCCTCTTCCCCCGGCCCTCCGCTCCCCGCATATGGGATTCACATTTGGCTCGGCTGGACGTTTTTCTTAATGCGATATTATGATACATTATCTGAAGCCATTTGCTCCTTGTCACCACCTCTCATGCGGACACAAGCTGAGTGAGCCGAGGAGAGGGCCGTCAGACTCTGTCCAGGTGACTTATGGCCATTTAATCTGACGCTGTGCGCGGCGTTGATCATTTACAACGCCCCAAAGTGTCATCAAAACACGAGCCGTGCTCATGCGGGTCTCTCGCTCCTTTTTCTCTCAGAGCCTGTTGGTGGCGTATAAGTTTTCACTCCCTCCTGCTGCTGGCTGTAAATCGCCCTGTCGAAGGTGTGTGTGCGTGTGCCTGTGTGTGTCCGTGTGTGTGTGTGTGTGTGTGTGTGTGTGAGGCCGCGGAAGGTGAGAAATTTGGGGGTCGGCCGAGGTCTTTCAGGTAATTGTGCTTCTTAAACTTTTGACCCACTAAGCCGTACTTACTGCGGTGCAGCTTGCTCCCCGTATTTCCCCTCGAGAGTTTTGACTCTGCATACCAGGACGCGTGTGTGTGTGCGTGTGTGTGTGAGTGTGAGTGTTTGTGTGAGATTCAACGAGTTTCTGAACACATGCTGTCAGCCCCACACAGCCCCTGCTATTCTTTTTCACCTTTTCTTGGCATGGCAGTCTCTGTTATTCCCACATCGCCCCTTCTTTATTTAGCCAAGCGATGAAAAATACATGAGTTTGTCTTGTTTGGTCCCCAACCTGCTGTCCTGCTCTGTTCCTGTGTGAAACATATTGAAACAATAGCACTCAGGCTCTGGATGATGTGATTTGCCTGGCCGTGTCTTGTTTTCTTCCTCTGACTTCTTTCCATAGTTGAATTAGAGAATTATACTGCTGATATCAGCATTGTTTTTTTAATTCTCTGTATTAATTCAAAGATGTTTTCTAAGACTGAAATTTAAACTACATCCTAAATATTAAAGCGCTTAAGGATAAATTTTTTTAAGTGAAATAGAACATGTCTGATAGGAAAAAAAGAGGCAGTCGTAAAACATTACTGACCCCTTAATAATGATGATGAGTGAATGAAAAATGTCACATTAGATCACACGGGGAAAAACGTTTGTGGTTGCTCTCTTCTAAATTATGTCTCGGCAGCTGGAAGAATTCCCAACACATGTCCATGGAAATTCGGGTAACCATTAAGAAACGCAACCTCTTGATTCATGTCTTGGCAAAAGACTACAGGCCGTATCACGGGCGGATCCATGGGAGGGGCCAGGGGGGACGATACCCCAGCTGGGGTTTGATTGACCCTGAACCACCCCTTTTCAGCCACTGGTGGCTTGATGAGTAAAGATATGTATACAAAAAAATACCATATCATGTTGCGAATAGGGAAATAAGATGAAAAAACAAAAACTTGCAGATGTAAATAGATGTGCAAAGGCAGAAGTGCAGAATGATCTGGAAGGCAGAGTTGCGGTGTGTTCCATGTGGACCCAGAAGCTGGGATGTTTTAGTTCACAGACAGAAAATGCACCGTGAAGTCAGAGGAGCCTCACCAGACCTAACCTCAAAATCCACCAAGGCTGCCTGTTGCATAAGACGCCGGTGACTGCTGCAGAAACGATTATTATGCCTTTTGTGAGCTGCGCGCTGTCCACCTTTTATACCGGGGAACGTGTGGCGCAGAGAGCCCGGTGAGAATCGGGCCGGCCAGCACCACAACGGTCAGATCCTTCAGATTTAAAAAGAAATTGTAACATGAATGTGTTGGGTGGGATTAATTCAGATTGTAAACAAACAGAAAATAGAAGCCAAATCTAGGCCACACATATCACCTTCTTGCAACGTTACAACCAAACTCGTCTATTATGTAACTAACACGTGACATAAAATTTGCACAGTGGTGCATTAAAAAAAAAATTCTTCCAGTTTAATCTGACCGTCAGTGTTGTGTTTTATAGTTGAATGTCTTTTTCCTTTCATTCCAACCAACCTCATTCCAGTTTCCCAGAGACCTTAGACAGAAATACATTTTAAAGTGCAATTGGGGTATAATACTTAAAAATTGATGGAAAAATAGATGAATGAATACAGAAAATTAAGTGCAATTTTTTTTTCTTCTGTGCTCATTTCACCTTGCTTGCAGCTATGATACTCCACATAAAACTAAGATTTTAGGAAGGTAAATTCTTGCTTTATGTAGTTTATGTTTGCAGCCTTTTAACCCTTCAGATTGCGAGATAGTAAGACCTCCCTTCTTCAGTGTTTTTTCATCATCTGTTCTGACCACGTTCCTGACGTTAACCACCATTAACCCCTCGCTCTTATTGGCATTGACACGCTCCAGGTTTCAGACGATGTGTCCAATTTCTTTGACAGCAAAAATATACAGGGTAATTCAGACTAACTTATTTGAGTGCAGCCTCGAAAAACAAAAATAAAACGTTTTCCAAAGCTTTTCTTTGACATCTATCAAAGACACTAAGAGGTTTGGGAAGGTTGGAAAATGAATTTTGCCAAAGAAAATCAGACGTTATGAGTCAGTTGTGCTGAAACTGCTCTGAAAGAACATAAAGGAGGAATTATTTTATTGCCTGTGACAAAAAAACAACAAAAAACAAAAGTAAAATCAACAGCGAAAAATTGTTCTCACATTTAAAAGCGTTGCTCACGTTCTCCCCCTGGGCCTCATTTATTGACGTGAATCCTGTTCGACTGCATGCAAACAATGGGGTAATTCCGACATTCGAGGAAAAAACGGCTTCGGAAAACATAATTGAAGGTAATTTTTCTGACTATTCCACCGCCCCCTCAGAGGTTGTTTGTGAATACAGTGTTTAAAATGCAGAGTGGGAAGCGGGATGACTGATGTCATCCAGCGGATTACCATTATTTGGCAGCTGCTGTGCACATTGCCTCATAAGAGAGCATGACTTTCAGAGTTTTATTAGCTTTATATTGATTGTAGTTTGTCCCTTTTTATACTTTGAGGGTGTCTCTGTATTGATCCCTGTGAGAGTGATGGATGGAGTTGTTACAGTTTAGAACTGTGCGGCACTCTTGTTGCTTCTACCATTTCCAAACAGGCCACTCACATAATTGTAATTGTTTAAAGATGATGTATTGAACCAAAATTGGTTCAATCGGTTTGATCATTTGACCCCCAGGACCCTGTGTCCCTGATTAATTTTGCATACTTTTCGTCCTTTTTTTTCCATTTAATTTTGCCCCTATCATGGTATGTGTTCTAACACAAAGGATGACATCAACCAAGGCTTTCCGAGGTGTCTTTTTAAACGCCTCCCTCCCCTCACCCACCCCACCTGCACACCCCCACCGCTCATGGTGGGGGGGGGGGGGGAGCAAAGCGTGTGAAGAAGAAGGCAATAACGGCCAGTTGTTTGTGAATAAACCAAGCCACTTACAGTTTTATAACCCCGACCTCGTAAAAAAAACGGTGCTGAAGCTTTTGTTCGTCTCTTCTCCCGACCCCCCCCCACCCCCCCCATCGACGGGGGCGAGCGGGGACGTCCAGGCCTGGAATTCCCATTTGCCCCGCCGCGGCGGAGTGTGTCGATGCGTCAGCTGCTGTGTTTGTGAGACAGACAGAGAGAGAAAGAGAGAAAGAGAGAAAAAGAGAGAAAGGGCGTGTGATATACGACTGCTGTGTCACGATCCACATGTGACGGCCGTCCTCAACGGGCAGAGCATCCAGGCTGACCCCCCCCCCCCCCTTTTGCCGTTCCAGACCGAGTGAGGGAGTGTGTGTGTGTGTGTGTGTGTGTGAGTGACTGTGGGACAGGAGAGGAGGAGAGGAGAGGGAGGAGGTGAGACTGAGACAGAGGGAGGAGAGAGCAGGGGCTCAGACAATCAGTGCGAGCGAGAAGGGAGGTCGAAACAAGAGGGAGCTGGCCGGGAAACAATAGTTGAACAAATCCAGGGTTCGCCTGCAGGATCTCCACCTTCTCTCTCTCCGCTGCCGGCCGCTGAAGGTAAGAACACCGGCACACCTGGAGGAGCATGCCTACTCCTTCTTCTCCTCCTCATAAATCTGACACAGGAGGAAGATTTAAGCAGGTCTTTGTGTGCATTTCTGCTTAGCGGCGAACGCACTCTCTGAGTTTTCGGGGGACACACACACACACACACTTCTGCTCGCTTTCTTCTCATCTTCCAGCTCAGGTGCGCATTCCACTCCTCTGCCGCACGTGCACCGTCGGCTGTCATTAGGGTTAGGGCACGGCGTGACGGGACTCTTAATGAGAGGAAACGGGTTTCTAATCGGGCGCTGACAGAGAGGCTGTAAGGGTAGTTCGGGTATCACCGGTATTCGGACATCTGTGTGTTTCTACAGGTCTGTTACGTCCTACGAGTAAAATGATTGACTCGGCCTGTTGCGCTGGACCCCGAGGCGGCTGACTTATGGTAGTGAGAGACGATGACAGACTCTGTGGTAGGTAGGAGGAGGAGGAGGAGACGGGCTACCACTTTCGTTTGACCAAGAGGGAAGAGGTGTGTGAAACAGAGAGGCCGTTTGGATCCGAAAACGATGCGACGGCCAAGAGTGAGCGGACGGCGAGAGGGGCGAGCGAAAGGGCTGAGACAGTACGGAAGAACATCTGAAATCGAGATCGCGAAGAGGCGGGAAAAGGACGGCATAAATAGGAGAAACAGAAAACAGAAACTGAGACGTGTGAGAGGTTCGCGGAGAACGGGTCGAGCCGACGCGAAACATCCCCGGAGGACGGCCCTCTGGACTTCCGGAGAAAGTTTTCAGACTCAAAGCCCCCTTCCGAAAAAGTTCGGCGAGGCAAAAAAAAAAAAATGCGACAAGTGGGAGGTGTGAAGCTCTAGCCAGGTGCGGACAGACAGACAGAGAGCTCCGCTCAGGTTTCTGAGGTCTGAGCTCTTCTCCCGTTTCGTTTTTCTCACCCGTGCATGCCAACGCACCCTCTGGGGCCTTTCATGGATGTATTGAATGGATGCTCCAAACGAACCCCGCGCAGCCCGAAAAAAACTTTGTCCAGTGCGACGAAACCAACGAACCCCACATCTCCTCAGACCTGCTCCTCTCACCTCCGGCTTTTGAGAGCGGATTGATCTGGTTCCATCCTTCGGGCCTCCGGTGGCAACATTCCCTCCGTTTTTTTTTTTTTCTTCTTTTGTTCCCGTCTGATGAGAAACTGATCTCGGGATTTGAAGTGGGCGCGTATGTTTGTGTGGGCCGACCCCGGGGAAGATTAGGGTAGGGGAGGGAATCTGCTTTTATCAAAACGTGTCCTCTGTGTGCGTCTGCAATGTTTCTGCGAAGTCTTAATTGCAAAAGCTAACGCGAGCTCAGCGCCGGCTCGCGCGGCCGCCTCTGATTGGCTGTGCGCCGCTCTCAAATCCGCACTGTTTGTCTTATCTTTACTGGGGAGGGATATATTTAGTGAGGAGCTTAGCTTTTAGGAGGTTGGCGCGTGGAGAGGGTAGGAGAGGTTGAGCGTGTGTGTGTGTCTGAAAGAGGAAGTGTGTGTGTGTGTGTGTGTGTTTGTGTGTGTGTGTGTGTGTGTGTGTGTGTGTGTGTATGTGTGTGTGTGTGTGATTTGGGCCGCTGGCGTCAGTAGACGGTGGAAGAGCTTGGCACTCTGCATGCCAAACCGTGTGTGTCTGTGTGTGTGTGTGTGTGTTTGTGCCTATTCTTTGTGTGAGTGAGTTGCTGGAGGACAGGTCTGTACACCACTCCCTCACCCACCCATTCCCCTCCACCCCCCCCTGCTCGCTGCAGTCAGGAATCTGCCCTTTAGTTTATTAAAAGCTGGTGAAACAATGGAGCGGGCGAGGCTTGGGGATGAGGGCAGGTGGGGAGTCATGACGTCAACTCCAGACACTTCAGCGCTCGGGCAGATCGGCCCCCGTCGCCATGACGTGATTAGAAAGTGAAAGATGAGAGAGACAGAGAGAGATGTAGAAGAAGTTCTCTACCTGTCGTTCCACCCACCCATCTTTCTTCTCGGAGTTCCTTTCAAGCACCTGTTTCCACCAGAAACGCCCCGCCTCACGGCCCCCCCCCTGAGTCGGGCTCTCACACACTGTACGTGCGCAGGTTTGTATGTGTGAGAACAGAAACCCATAAGTTAGGTGGGTAGGTTGGATATTTATACACGCACGTCCCACTGGGAAGAACAAAACAAACGTGGCATGGGATGGAGAAAGTCAGTTCGGCACAACATATGGCTCGTTCAGTTGGGAGCCTCCGTGGTGTAACTGTTCATAACAGATTTCCCCCCCCCCCCTGTTTTTTTAGAACTTTATATAGGTGTTGTTTTTGTCCGGTCTGTGCCGAAAAATATGCAGTCAGTTAGTTTCCATGACTTTTTACAGAAAGAGTTCTGGGTTTACATTGGACTCTGTTGAGCTGCAAGGGAAAACACTACTGAACGAACGATAATAATAATTATGTGATCATTACCTGGCAAAAAACATATCAACCTCAGATTGAAGTGGTGTAATGAGGATGTTTGCATTTGCAAAATATCCAGAAATCAAGCGGCAAGGTGTGAGTATATGCTCATTATGGATTTGTCTGTTTCCCTTTTTTTGTTGTGGAAATACGTCAGAAATGGTTGAAACTATAAAGTATTTCCAGACTGTTGATAAAATCCTAAGTATTTTCTGCAACATCTGACAAAAATGCTTCAAGCATCTAGAGGGCAAAATCTTTGCTTCCCTTGTAAACGCAATCCCACGGAGAAATAGGTGAGATTTGGTTTCCGCTGCATTTACGTCGTTCAGGAGAGCGACCAAGTCAAATGGCGCATATCTCCAATGAATTATGCATTTAACCACGGATTGAGAGCGTTCACGGTTCTCAGAAACGTGATATTGCCAAGGTTTTGTTTTGCCCACTGGGCTGAAATTTGGGCTTTCTGAGTCTCCTGCCAAACATGCTGTGAACATAAACGGTGATTCCAAAAAGTGGTTGATGACCTGCAAAACAACCAAGCCACATTTCACCGCCACCTCCATATGCCAAGTCCTTATCAAAGTGTTGGTTGTATTGTCCCCTGAATTGTTGATATCAACTTAACATGTGTCACAATCAAAGCTTCACCTGAAAAATAAGGTACTTTACAATCGTTTTTGCATGCATAAACTGTTCGCCCCATTTCTGCCTCAAAGTTAAGTGCATCTTCAGTCAGTGGAGTCTCACCTCTGGCTCAGTTTTACCTGAAACAAATTATTCCCCCAGTGATTTGGCACGAAGCCCACAAGATCCGAAGCAATCCTCTCTTTTACTGACCAATGTGGAGGTCTTGCTACTCAAAAACTAATCAGAGAGCCAGAGCTGAAAGCCCAGAGGCAGACGAAATTATTACACAGCAAGCATTTTAAGTAACTTCAGACCAGTTTTGAGGGTCTGCATTTACCGCTTATTAAAAGTCATATCATCTTTCGCGGAGCAAATCAAGTTAAGCAAATTCCACTTGTTTTGCAGGAACAACTTCGGCAGTGGTGCTGAAGGGCAAATAATTTATGAAAGGCTCAGTACATGCAAAAGGATCCAGGCTGGGTTAGGAATGACCGAAAAGCACAACCACATCACGACAGCATAACCCCTCTTACATACCACCTCGCCTCTGGTCTGATGCTTTCGGATTTGGGGAGTTATGAGATGTTGATTCCGAGCTTAGCTTCATAAGTTATTATCATGTCTCTCTTAGATGCTACGGTGGGAAAGATGCTTCAGATCCTCACCCACGCCTCAGCGGCCTGGTGTTCTCAGTAAATGTGAAAGCAAATGAGTTTAGGATCATTTTTTTTATTTAATAAATATCATATTACATATGAAAAACATAATTAAGCTGAATGGTAAGAGAAATTGTATTTTGGATGAGAACACACCACTTACATATACATTCATCCTTTTCAACCCAAAGGGAATAGCTTTTGTTCCTCAATCTAAACTAAATTTCAATCCAAACAAAATAAATAAAAAAACACCGGGCTAACGGCTCATTAGGAAAGGTGGTACATGGAAAAACTACTTGACAATAGTTCCTATTCCTCCATCCATCCATTTTCGTAACCACTTATTCCATGAGATCACTTAAATGTGAATGGCACCCTCTTCAAAATCCAAAAATAACAGTTTTCATTCAGACTCAATGCTTTAAAAAAAATGTTTTTTTTATCTTCACAAGAAACTGCAAATATGGATGTTCAGTTGAGTTGTTTACCCCCATATGAACATTATTCTTATCATGGATCCCATGTAATGCTGAACTCTCCACTCTTAACTTCTACTTTCGGAGGGGCTTGGCATTTTGCGGTGTTGTGATAATAGTTTGTCCCTCCTTGTTTCCTGCCTCCCGCATGAATGAACGCACCTTTTATCGCTTGGCTGGAAACAGAAAGACTGATTCCACCCTGTCCTACTGTATTGTCTTCCATTATTCAAAAAGAATAAAGATCCTGTCTTAATAAAAATGGAACGTACGTCTTGCTTGGTGGCAGTTTACTGGTCTCGCAGCAGTGTTTCTACAACAGTCATCAAGCGGAGCTGTTTACCTTAATGGAGGTGAAATTTCATGGGTAATTCAGAATGAATGACCTGTTGTATTTTATGGAGTTCCGCTGCCAACATAGCCGCATTACGTAATGAAAACAGCGAGGACCCAAGGTGACACAGGGAGTTTGGATCCAGCTCTGTTCCCAAATATAATCACCGTGGTTTAGACTTCTGCAGTGAGACGGGGTTGGTACGAGCACTCGGGGCTGATAGTCTGGGATAAACGAAGGAATGAAGAGGGAACTGCTTGTACTTTAAAGAAGGGCGCAACGTGGGGGGGGGCGGGTGTTCTTGTCTGAGTCTCCCAAAGGAGACATGTTTGGTTTGAGGGGGATAATGGAGGTGATTCCGAACGAAGGCGTCCTGGAAAGACGCGTAGCGAAACGGGTTTGGTGGTGGTGATATTTGGACAAGAAAGGGGAGGCGGAGTGTTTGAGTGGAACCAGCTGCTTTTTGTAAACTGTCCCGACTCCATAAATCTGAGCGGGACAGGTGAGGGGGAACTTGGACAGGAGGAGGCCCTCCGGTGGGCTCACACTGCCCCCAAACCTCATGACCCTGTTTACTCATCTGCATTAGCTGATACAGAAACACAAATGGGCGATAAACTCCCAGTCATATTCTCCATTTATTATCCTAAAAGCCGCTATTATGTGAACCGGCCGCCATTCATTGGCGTGCGTTGATATCACAAGCTTTTAGAGCTTTAGGATGAGTAGCCAGAAGAGCCTGTAATTATGATTTGTAGTCACCTCGTATTGAGGGATGTCCCCTGCTTTGGTGCAGAAAGAGCAGGGTGGCCTCCACTGGCAGACGACAATCAATGGAAAATCATTTCCGCTGGACATAAAAAGGTGGGAGTCTCTGGATGGCTCCACCAAAAGTTAATCAGAGAGGACATAGCTGGCTCACGACCAAAGTTACATTTAGGATCGGGGCAAGTTTATTTTTCTTGTCCCGGTATTTACAAGGCAGAGCGATGCTGTCATTATCTTTGTTTGCTTTGCTTCATGGTAAGGCCAGAACCTGTTGTCCGCTTAACAAAAACACATGTTCTTCAGGGGTTGCCGTGATTTATGAGGAAATACCGAGGATGTTTTCCCCCGCGTGACCGTAACCGCAGTTTCCATTGTCCCGTTTGATGTGAATTGATTTAGCATGTTTTCACGTCACAGAGTCCGCCCGCCGCGTTTGAAGGATGCCGCGATCATACACGCTTTCTGCCCACCCGAAACGGGACCGTGGTCCAGTCAAAGCTGGAAGCTGTTGCCTGGTCCTAACTTAGCAAATTCATTGCATGTGTGGGTTTGACTGGAAACTCGCTAAAACCACGCGATAACCAGCAGTAACATCTATCGCCTTCGTTATTAAGGGTTACATTCAAGTCTGCCCCACCTCTCGTTTTCTGTATGTTATCAGTCTCTCACATCATTATAAAGGAATTCTGGCTCATTCTCCTTTAGGTTTCCTCAGTTTTTTTTATTATAGGCGTGCAGCATTTCTTATGGAATTTACCTTATGCCTGTTTCAGATTGATGGACAACAACAAGCTTCTCCTCGAAACACTATTTCTGATGTCTTTCCTCCTTGGCACTGTGATAGCAATGAGACAAATAATCACGCAGTTTAGGTAATGTGTTATAGATTAGCTGAGGTTTATGATGCATTTATTTAATTTAAAAACTTATAAACTGGATGATTACTTCAAAATTTGAGAATATGTGAAGGTTTAGCTCCCTATTCGAAAAACCGTTTCAAAATCTGATATCACTTAGGTTGTGTTTTTTAGCTCTATCGCATCTCAGTAAGTTAATGCAGAGTTTTTACATCATAATTGGTGTTCTGACGATTTAGCAAATAAACAGCACAAGTTGAATTTTGTTTTAGATTCTGCTGTAATCTTCCTTCATTGTACGCTTCTTCACATCAAAGCAGCGAATTTTCTGCTTGAGACATGTTTGCACAACTGGAATTGTTTCAGAGTGATGTCTGGATCTAGTGCACAGCAGGCCCAATGATAAAAAATACACAGTGGAAATGTCAGCATGTTAAGAATGGTGAATGAGTCTATATAAATGTTAAATATAAATTATCTTTTTTAAAAGTTCTCTCTAGCATATATTCGCTAAATACTCGTAAAAGAGAGAACATCATTTCCAACCAAAAAGGTTTGCACACTTTTGCATTCATGTTTGCCTTTGAGTCAGTTTCTTGAGTTATTACAGTGCAATCTCTGCTAGATCTAAAGAAATGCTAGCGTCTGCACTGCATATGTGAAGAATACCATTGACTATGACTGACGTCTTTATCTTGCCTCCACCACCTCCGGAGGGACCCTGACCCTGTCAGTGCCACCCTCTGCTCACCATTTGTTCTCCATCTCGGTCTGCTTTCGACTAGCTTAAAAGTGGCTGAAAAAACCCACCCGCTGTGCCTGAAAACACTGCGCCGAGAGCTAAAAATGACAGCTTGTTTTTTGGGCTCAGCATGATGGCAAGTGGTCAGGAGTTTTTTTGGGAAAACAAATACTGTCTCATTTAGCTCATTTTGGTCCTGTTTTTAGAATGATGTTCTTACCATTTTGACTTTCCACAGCAGCCATTTGCATTTCATGCATACTCTCAGATTGATCTGTGAACATCTCCTTGGGGTTTTAGCGATAAAAAAAGCACTTAAGCTGGTTGTTTCTGGGTCTTTGGACGGGTAATAAAGCTGTCGTGTCTAGTTTGTTGCGTGCGCTGTGCTTAAATGGAATTTCTAAGGCCACAGGGCACATGGAGATTGCACAGGAGGTGTCAGACCAAGGCTGACCTGGGTGGAAAAAGGCCACACACAACACAGATTTGCCTCAGTGCTCTCTTAAACTTAATGTTAGTGGTAGGCGTTTGAATTTCTTCTTTTTTTCTTGGTCTCATCTACAACACGTGCTTTGCTTTGCGTCCATCTTTCTGTTTTATGTGGGTTACCCATCATTGATTTCATTTTGTAAACTCGCTTGATTTGAGTGTGTGGTGTCTTTAACGAGAGTTTTTTTTTAATGCTGATTGCGATACCAGCAGCTGAGAGGGGGATAACACCGGTCCTATCATGGCTGGCAGGGGCGGAGGTGCTGAAGGGTGCTGGCCGCCTGCGAGAAGACAGGACTGTCTGCTGTGTAAACCCCTCTACCACATGTTCCGGAGGCCAACAAACCATCAATGGGAATATTTATTTTAACAGCCCAAATGATGCTTCTATTTCTCTCAAGGGGGAATCTTAACAATATATTGTTCCCCTTAGAAAAAGAAACACCGTGTCTGAAATGAGTGGAGCTAAAGATGGCTGAGGAGGAAGTATGGGAAAATGAAATTAACAAGGAATTCAGTGTATAAATTCTTCCCTTTCTTTTTTTTTTGGATTAATTGTTTTTCCACATGGCTCTGCTTTATTTCTAAGAGAACAAAGCAGGTTATACCTCACAAACAGCTGACGTATAAATGACATTTCGGCTGTTAACCTCATTCCACAGTCAGCCTACTTAATCCATTTTAGAAAGCTAATAACATGTCGATAATCTAAAAGTGAGCAGTGAAGCAACTCAAAAACATCTGTCCTGGCCAGCGATTATATAAAGTATGATATCATCTCATCTGGAGTTCTTACTCATTGACCACTGTGCCAGAAACCTCCACCTGCTTTTGGTGGTAACTTTGACTTTAATTGCACCTTCTCAGGATTGGAGGGTTTTGTCGAAACCAACCTATCGACCTGCTCACACTCGTTCTTGGTGTTTTTCAACTGTGCCACTTGCAACTGTACACAGAAACAGTGAAAATGCCAAATATTCCCCCGTTTGTGCACTCCACAGAAAAATGTGTGGCCCAGAAGTCACAGGGTTTTGCTTTATTAAATATGAATCGATACAACTTGCCGCTCCATCCCTCTCTGCTGTGCTTCAGCCTAGCCTACAAGGTCCTTCCTAGTCCTGAGCACACAGGCTTTTAACCACAAAACTGTAGAGTTGGCAGTGATTGACAATAGAATTGTCTATTGATTTTTACTGGTTAATTTCAAATCTAAATACCTTGAATTTACATTGAGCAGCAGCTGTTTGTGTAAAGTTCTGAGTTGTTCTGGCGAGCAATGGTTCACAACCAAAGTTATTCAAAGTTGAATTCCTTCTCTTTACAGGGAAAATGTCTGGATCAAGCCTTTAATGAACTCAGAAAAGCCTGATCACTTTAGAAAGTTCATTAAATGAACAGACGTTGCAACCCCACAACAAATCCTGCTAACGTCAACTCAAACAAATGCGGTAAAGCATCAAAGATGTGCTTTTAGACAACAGTGGTGGTTAAATTCATGCTGTGATAACAGACAAAATAAGAGCACTTCCTCTTGTTTATTTTAGATATCACCATCGATGTTTTCTTGACACCAGCGTAGGCTTTGCACCAACAGGCCAAAGGGGGGGAAACCCACTCCCTCTGCCTGGTGACACGCTAAAGCTCCTCCGTGTGGCTCACGGAAAAGATATACAATCCCTGCAGCGCGTTCCGGGTCTGCCCCGGGGTCTCGTTCCAGTTCGACGTGTCGGGGGGGAAAAAAACCCTCAAAGGGGAGACTACCCAATCCAGATGAGGAACGGAAACTCATCTTGGAGCTCCTCACTCTGTGTCAAATGTCAAACTCAACCCCTCCATCCCAAGAGAACCCATTTCAGGAGATGGACCAGTTAAAGAAATGGCATTTAGCATTTAGCATTTCGGATGATTCCGAAACACATCCAGTCCATTTAGGCTCGGGGGCCTCCTCTAGCTTTTCCAAGTATCCACACTTCTCAATAATTGACCGAACATTCTGCCCCAGCCAGCAACCGAGCTCACACTTAACACAAACCTTATTGTCAGGAGGACTGTAAAATATGAAGTTGGAGCATGGAATGGAGGGGAAGGGGGGGAAGAAACGTAAATACCTGTGAAAATATGCTGCGGGACTGGCAGAGGGCTCGCAGTCGTGAGAGGGCTTGTTTGGGAGAGAGCGATTTGTTTTAATGAAAAAGCGCTCCCTGTGCCGGGGGGGAGAGGGCCCTGCTGCGGGCTGTTTGCGCACACACAGCTTGGGTTTCTCCTCTGCGTCTGCCTAAGCGTGTGTGTGTGTGTGTCCGGCGCGTGGGTGTGTTGACCGGTGAGACGACGTGGGCAGCCACGTTTGGAAAAGACGCGCACACTCGATCAGTCTGTCACTTTTGCTGGCGAGAATCTCTCGCGAAGGAGCTGTCTGGAGGTAGCCGTCCGCTTTTCGGCACCCTATTATGTGACAAATGGACTAAACATATTACCAAAAAAACACCTCAGCAAAAAATGTCTTCATCTATTTGATCCTTGCCGTCTGTCTTCTTCCCCCAGACTGAGATGGACTGGGACGGCCGGGGATGGAGCCACCCGATATAGTCCCCCTCCGGCCATCTTTCTCCCTAAGACCTCCTGACTTCCACCCGCCGCTGATCCAGAGCAAAAAACAAAAAAGAGGAAACGGCTCCACCTCCGCGCCAGATCCCGTTGTATGACGTGGCCGAGAAGAAGACGGCATTGCGATCTAGCGAAGGATCGGGAGGCTCAGGGTGCCCCGACCATGAAACCCACGACCCCCGGGGGTCCCCCTTCCGGCCTCCTGCTGGTCCTGGTGTGCTGCCCCCTGCTGGGTTTGGTCCAGTCGGCCAGCAGCAACAAGGCCAGCGACAACGCGCACCCCCACCTGGGCGACAGCGACCCCGACCGCTGCATGAGGCACCACTTCGTGGAGACCATCACGCACCCGATTTACAAATGCAACTCTAAGGTAAAGGCACAAACTCGACCCCACACAAAACACAAACTTTGTATTCCAGCGCGCCGCGCCGTCGTCCAATGCTAATTGTGTCGCAAATTTGTTTGGAGTAACGAGACAAGTCCAGCTGAAAAGTTAACTAATTTGTTTCAAATATCAGCAAATCAGTTTTCTTCCAAATCAGACCTCAGAGACGCAAAGAAAATCCCGTAAAGCCGGCCAAGAAACCTTGTGTGATTCTAGTCTCCCGCCATGTGGTCAGCGCTCTCTCTTACTTTATCTCCATCTCTCCTTCATTTAGACAAGTCACGCTTGGATTCTGTGTGTGTGTGTGTGTGTGTGTGTGTGTGTGTGTGTGTGTGTGTGT